ATTGTATGTTGTAACTAGCTGACCCGCGCAACTTCGTCTGCGTCTCTCAATAGTAATAAATTTTCTCCGTTTTTGAAACATTCTTCATTGGTGCTCCGCTCCTATTGGTCTTAGCGTGATGATATATAGCCTATAGCCTTCCTCGATAAATGGGCTATCTAACACTGAAAGAATTTTTCAAATCGGACCAGTAGTTCCTGAGATTAGCGCGTTCAAACAAACAAACAAACAAACAAACTCTTCAGCTTTATAATATTAGTATAAATGAGAATTAACGCACACAGAAAGAACTAACTAAAACAAGAGAAGATATGAAAAATAAAATCCATCCATACTAATCTGTCTGTCTGTCTGTTACCTCTTCACGTTTAAACCGCTGAATCGATTTAGATGAAATTTGTATAGTGATAGTTTGAGTCCCGAGAGACGACATAGGATAGTTTTTGTTCCAGAAATCATTCTTTAATGGGGTGAAAAGAGGGGTGTAAGTTCCGATACAAACTTACACCCCCCTTTTCCCCAATAACCACTGAACCAATTCAAATGAAATTTAGTATGGAGAGAGTTTAATTCTTGATAAAGAACATAGGCTACTTTTTATTGCGATAACCGACATAGACGCGGGCGGAGCCGTCGACAAAAGCTAGTATATGATACTTATGATATATCTAGTAGTTCTATTTTACTTATTTTTATGTAAGAGAGGGTAGACGAGCAAACGGGTCACCTGGTTGAAAGTGACCATCGCCGCCCATGAACGTCTGCAACTCCTGAGTTAGAGGTGTAGAGTCACAAACGCGTATTTCGTATTGTCCAAACAAAGACTAATACTATGTTCGATGAACTAAAACAAAAACGGTTGTATTTGACAGTCATTTGATTTCTAGTATAAATATTATCAAAGTTCTTTATAAGTTTCTGAACTATCAGTAGTACTGATCCGTCAAATTTAAGCGGCGATCAAATATTGGTGTATTACAAGGCTGGGCTGATCCTCGCCGCGCGCCGGGCAGACCCAAAACTTTAGATTCGTTAGTCAAACGACGTTGGCACCTATAATCCTGTTACAACAAGTTATGCTGATTTTATAAAGGCTTATTAAGTAATAAGAAAAGTTTTATTCGAAAAAATTTATTATTAGGGGGCATAAATTACGTCACACGTTAAGGGGAGGGGAGAGGGGGTCGGCGAAGTGTGACAAGGGGTGGGAGGGGTTCACCTAAGGTTTGTGACGTCACTTTTAAAAACATAATATACTTAAGTGTTTAAATGCGAACTTTGAATTATTAATCCTTTTGTCATTTTTTTCAATAATTTGATTTGATGTTGATTTTATTAAAAATACTTAAACAGTAACAAAACTAATTGTGGAACTGCTATTTTACTTTAATAGTTTTTAGAACAAAATATGTGATGTCAGACTAGGGAGGGAGTGCTCACAAATGTGACCAGCTGAGACAAGGACGGGAGTAGGGGTTATAAAATTCGTGTGACGTAACTTGTGGACGGTCCCTAAGATTATAAAATTGCACTTACATAACTAAATTTACTTCCAAATAGCAGGAATATGCTTAAAATGTAGTTTAATTCAAGAGGTTACCGCAGCCCATACCCTTCCTCCCACCTGTTTTTGGGGGAGGAATCAAAGAGCGAGAAAGCACTTATGACTCCGTAATTGCAAGTGATCCTGGACGGTGGTAGTCACTTACCATCTGGTGATTCGACTGCTTGTTAGCCGTTAGCAATAAAAATACATCAAAATTATCTTTGCAACAGTGTAACAAGCATGAATAAAATAAAATAAACAACTAGACTCAAAAATAAATTAAACAATTAAAAAAGGCTGTAGGGGTTGGAACCTTTTTGATAATGTCATCTTTCAATTAAAAATATACTTAATCAAACTAATCTAACAGCTATGACGCCACGGATTGCGTCGGGATTTAAAAGTACCTGCTAGCGAAGAAACTAACAAAGAGAAGGACTGCCTCGGTGGCGCCGTAGTAGCGTATGCGACTGCTGTTCTGTGGTCTCGGGTTCGATTCCCGGGTCGGACCAAATGTTTGTATGCTCTGCAAATTTTTGTTTTGGAGTTTGGGTTTTTTCTACGTATAATATGTATGTATTTACAAAAGTGTATAAGTATTTTATCAGTCAATCTAGCATTCGAGCTCGGCTTAGTTTGAAACTAGATGGCATTGTGTGTTAAGATGTCAGAAATATTTAAAAAAAGACTTGAAATGAGTCCTAAACTAACCCGTCTAGCCAGCGTGGTACAGTAGGCCCAAACCTCCTTTGAAAGTAGAAGTCTTTGTCCAGCAGTGGACTGTGATGTGATAAAGGCGACTACCGATACCCATGACATCTGCACCTCAAGATTCACAAGCGCGTTTTCGTCCTTTGAGTATTTATAGTAATAATATATTTAAAAACCGACTCATAACCTCTATTCGTGAAACTGAACACACTCAGCATAGGTTATAAAGGGTTCATTTAAACAAATGTAACTTTTAGTTCATGGTTTACTCGTATTATAATATCGACTGCACGGATAGCGTAGTGGTTTAAACGGCAGTCACTCCGTTTCCTACTGCGCTGAGTGTTGGGGATTCGATCCCCACATGGGACACCTCTTTGTGTGATCCACAAATTGTTGTTCTTAGTCTAGGTGTTCTTTGTGTACGTTTAATCTATGTTTGTAAAGTCCCCCTTTTTTTTTTTTTTTTTTTTTTTTCCGTGCGGATATCCCCTCGGATACCACCTGTCGGTGGCACGTCGGACTCGAACCGACTAAAACCGCACGCCGTCTCGGGTACTAATAGCCGGGGAACCAGGTATACCCTAGAAAGGAAGTCCCTGGTGCCCCGACATACCTCGGGTCATCTACAGACGAGTAGACGACCCCCCCCCGTGTGGGAACCCCATGTTCCCTGTGCTCCCTGGAAGCAAGCGCGCTTCGCAACGCGCTCGCCGCCACCCCGGCCTGCTTCTGCTAGGGTGACAGATGGCCTCACCTGTCACCCCCAGGCCTGCGCTTATGGAGGACGGAGGTCGTTCTGCGACCTCCGGCGCCTGAGTCGCCTGCGGTACCTGGCCCGTTCCCGGGCCTGGCGGGCCGGGAGAGTCCTAAACCTCTCCCGGTCCCGCTCCGCCGTCTCCTTCGCGAGCATAACTTGCTCGCAGAAGGAGACGGCACAGTTCCACGCACTCTCGCTCCGCACGATAGCCGCAATCAGGCTATCGAGCGAGAGAACTCCCACTCCGATTTGTAAAGTCCCCTGCGATACAGGATATATATTCCTAATGCGGGAGTTGTCTTTATAACAAAAAAAAAAAAAAAAGTCACAGTCGTCGATTGGCACAGCGCATTTATAGTTTTTATTGCGTTGGTAACAAAAGTGAGAATATTTATATTTTTAAACAATTATTTAACAAGTATCACTGTGTGAATTAGAATTCAATCAGTTTATAGTCTCTCCTGAAAAGTAACTAATTTTAAAATTCGCTTTAATATCAAGCGACGATTTAATGCTTGACATAGTAACATAAATAATAAAATCTGTTATGTTTATATTCACAAACTAAATGTCATTCAGGGGTCACATAATGACCTTAACTCATTAAATGGTTGATAACAAATATTTCCTTATTTTTTAATGATTATGATAAAACTCAAACCAAGAAGTATCTACTAGACAAATAAGCTAATTATTGAATAAAAAAAACAGACAAATCGACTGTGTGCAAATGTATACTTAAAATTTACAGCCATTTTAATTTTATAATTTTCATTTCATCACATTTAAAAGTCCACCGTTAGACATAGGCCTCTCCTTAACAAGAGGTTTTGGCCATCTCTACCACGCTGGCCAGACGGGTCGGTATAGGGTTTGGGCCAAGTTTTCCTTCTCTTTGCAGTGCTGTTGTCCTGCGTAGTTTGGTGCCTTAATCGGCTCTTACGACACCCACGGGATGAATAGGGGTGGTGACAATCCGTATTTTTAATCCGTCACCACACTAATAATTCTCATGTACACATATATATATATATATATATATATATATATATATATATATATATACCATAATATAATAAATTGAATAAATCTAACGGCACCTCAAATCAAACAAGCCATTTGGGATTCAGATTACAGCAAAAGAAATGTACATGGTATGTACATGCATAATTACGTATACACTTGAAGTCGGTGTAATTACAAATATACAGTGCAGTCGGGTAAACTATAAAATTGACAAATGCTGTCTTGTCTTATTTATACATTAATAGCTGTTTTCTTATTATTTATTACATTGATAACTAATAAACAACTCCGAACAAAGATAAAAGGTTACTTAATTAACATAAAATGATTAATGACTGATACGTCTTAGTACCCATAATGTTTGTCTCGACATCACAGAGCATAAGTAAATAGTGATGTGCTAGGTATAGTGATTTTTCGTTTCTATATCCGTGTATCCGGGTACGGGTATCCGGAGAAAAACCAAGATCTATGTCCTTGAATGTACCGATCTGTTAGTTTTTTGACAAATCTTAAATGGACCTTTTTAATTTTTCTATTTTATGGCTTTTATGAAATTCTAGATTTAATTTCTCCAAATTAAATACTTAACCATCTAGGGTATTGAGGAACTAATATTGTTAATATAACTATAAGGCACTAATTCATGATGCCATGAATCGGACCCACGACCCATTAACACTGGCGTATTAGACAAGGGCACTATCTGACAAAATCTCGTCTCTTTATCCGTATTCGCGGCTATTCATTATTATTGATGCCGCACATCACTAATACTAACACCTCACTGTTAAGATAGCTACAGTATGAGACAGAAAACTTTTCCAAACGGTCTACACTTGTCTCTTCCCTTATCACATCACTCTCTGTATATTACTGATTTTGTTTGAGAGTATTTTACTGTGGAAAATAGATTATTTACAATTTATATAGAAACTTAATGTTCAGTGGAAAGTGATGGATCTTGAAAGACAACCGTTATTAGGAAATACTTCGGATGTGAGATGTCGAAGATCGAGGTATATTTTTTTTTTAAATGAAGCGTAATACTTGCGTTAGAAGTTGATCCACTCTATGAGTTTATTTTATAAAAAAGTTTTTATGTGCTGTATGTATCATGAAATCCCCTCCAATTAATTTTGTTAAAGCGAAGTGTGGGTGTTTGGTACTCAATCACGCCAAAACTTCGGAAAGTTTCTGGTATAACTTCAGCGCAGAGATAGATTATAGTCAGGAATAACACAAACTATTTTATAACTAGCACAAAAATGATTTATGAACTCGACAATAAGGCAAGCGTCCGTCCGTCTTAACACATGCCATATGCCCTACGACCTAACGGTCAACGTACTTATAAAAAGAAGTACTACATATACTAACTAATACGTCCTTGAACAAGTAGTTAATGATTTTAAATTTGATTTAATGCAACTAGAACAGAAGCAATAATAGTTAGGGCCCGTTCGCACAGCGATATTTCACCGCAAGGTTTGTATTCGCGCAGAGATAAATCGCCACCGTATCGCGTTCAATTTGCATCAAATCACAGATCCGCCAGTGCGGTTAGTCCTATATAGATCCTGTCACATAATTTTGCGAGAAAAAAAACGCGCGGTGAAATATCGGATGGGCCCTTATAATGCTTTGATACATTGTTAACTTGCACTCGACTCTGGTTTATGGCTTCGTTTCTTAATCAAAGTTCTTCTTCTCTTAAACAGGCCACTAACATCAGAAGAAGTTTTAGCAGCTCGCCAGGACATAACATGGCGACGGACAAGATTCTGCATTCTCGTCATGTTCTGGTCACTAATGGTCATGTTCATCTCCATCATCACTTATCTCCTATTCACCGCTTCAGGGTGTAACTCGTACGAAAAAAGTTTGGTACAAGCACCGACTGTTCCTCCCATACATATGACGTTGGCGCCGCTGATTTATAGGATTAACGACGATAAGGTTTTTACTTTATAATTGTAGAATTGAAGCTAAATGTTGCAAATATTATACGAACTGAGAACAAAGAGCCATCACAACAGAATACGACTCCTAAAGAAAGGTGAGATTCCAGCTGGAATATCAAATTGTCGATGCCGAAAACTCTTACCTACTGAAGACACCAGACTTCCAAGTCAAACTATATTTCGGTTTTTGAGTAGATCCGGCTAGGATCTGTAATGATGGGTTTGGACGGTAGCTAGAATTGAAGGGAGTATTCACAGATTTCATAGTTTTTTCCGCAGGAACGCATCTTCTGGATATCTTTAACTCGAGAAAACCGGAAGGTAAGACGCGCAAAAAAGATAGCTGGGATGAACTGGTTGCCATGCCATGACAAATTGGGCCTATGGGTGGGGCCTATGTCCAACAGTGGACTGCTGGTTATTAATTTTTGCACCCATCCGCAGTCCCCGGCAAATCCAGAAACAATTCTGACGATTGGTATTTGTTGTGGGCTCCGGTTACCACATTTAGACTCCAGAGTGGTTATTTATGCGTCGAGGACAGGTTGGCTAGGTGAGCCAACCAACCTCCATCCAGAAGCGCAGAAGCCTCCTGGGGCGTTCACAGGCTTCTAGGAGCGATTTTGTATCAGGAACGATACTTGCCCGTTGTGTGGCCACTCCCTCGCATTCCAGGATTACGTGGGCAGCTGTTTCTTCTGCTTTCAGACATCCTCTGCAAAGAGGACTGTCCGTCGCATTAATGGTGAAAAGTTGTTAGTTCAGGGCTAGGTGTCCTGTTATGATTCCTACAACTCTGCGGATTTCTAGTCTGATAAGACTGATTAATCTGCAGGGGAGTCGTTGTGTGCCTTCAGTCAGCACCAGTTTGGACTGTCTGCAGCCGGGTGAGTTTTTCCACCTCCGGTTGTGTGCTTCACGAGTCCGTTGCTTGGCCCAGAATCGAATTCTGGCGATTGTCTATATGGAACGAATATTAGTCACTGATTTTCCAACTTAGTGCGTGGTTGATTTGGCCGTTGATACAAAAATAATCACACGTTTGTTCAAGAGAATAAAACTAAAGACTGTTTAAAAATCATTAAATTATTATTTTAAATATAAGTCTCGGTGTGTTATTTATGTCTCATCACATGCAAAAGCCGGCATGGTTACGTGAAAATTCGATATATATTATGATACCAGAAAATTTACTACTGGGTTTGAGCTCCAAATTTACTGCAATTTTCATGTTTTGAGACTAAACAAAACCACAACAAATTACGTATTAAAAATCAATAAAATATAACCACAGCTGTATCAATTGTTTATTGTATATACAAAATAAAATTGTACAAACTTGTATCATTCTTAAAACCTATTACTTACTAAAAATAGGTGAGATGACACTACTTTGTTACCGTTTAATTTTTCGCATACAAGTTACTTCTCTAAATGATGTCAGATCATTTCCTAACTATTGTAAGGTTACAAAAAAGGTATAAATTTAAAAACTTTGGTGTCATTATTAAGAATAAAACATAAATTCACGGCCCTAACAAGATAAGTTCCATTCCTAATACATTCTTAGTTAACTTAGCATAACTAATAGTAAAGTATAGTCCATTCGCATTAAGAAAATAGTGACGTATCGATCAAGCCTCGCACTCTGACCAACCAGATTCCAAGGTTTCTTACGAAACGATAATTTCTTGGAACCTGATTGGTCAGGGGTCAGGCCTTGATTGTTATGTCACAATTTTTTTTAACGCGAGTGGACTTTAGTACAATGTTAGGCCTAGAATTAAAATTTTCGGAAGTACAGACAAAATAAGAGTATCTCAATGAAAAAATGCTTTCTTTTCGATGTTGAGAAATATGATTAAATTAACGACACTGTATTGAGAGGGTTGATAGACACAGTTGTGCCTATTTAATGAAAATCTTCAAATAAATACAATTATTCAACTCTTGAAATTCTATCCTCTAGTCGTTTTCTACAGCATAATTGGGTTCCTATTATGTAAATAAACTTCTAGTTTGTTTCTTAAGATAACGGTCGACCATTTGTCCACTTTTACTTTTAAACTCCTAATAAAACATATTGTAAAGTCCTCTTTAACCAGTGACAAAAACGGACACAATTTTTTTTTTACACATACCTATGACACAGAGACAAAAACTAAGTTCAATTCTAATTATGTCACTAACAATTAAATAATAAAAATTAAACATAATTTAATAATGCTATGTTTTAAGTCACTATTTATTTTTAATAGTCTACTAATTCATGACGTCCCAGGGGATGCTACCTAGCTCAGAACTTTCGACTTCAATAACGAAAGCTGCGGATAAATTAAGCATGTAATATATAGCCCTAAAAATTTTAGTTTTAACTATAGTATAAAAATTAGCAGAAAAATCTTTGCAATGTTTAACAAAGATTAAATGAAATAAATAAAAGGGCTTTGTTCTTATGTACTTGTTATTCTTATTTTTTTATTGCATTCAATTAATGAAGTAAATATAAAAATAGTTTTTATTTCAATGCAGTAAGAGCTCAATTATCTAGTATAATAGAAAACATAATGTTCTATTCATACGTAACAATAACATTGGATAGGTCAATTGAATGTATTTAGTTTAGGAACCTTTGGGTATTCATATCAGCAGTCTGGTTACCATCCATTACCATACCATACCATTAGCACAGGCTCTGATCAGACGGCTAACAGATGTTTCAAATGTTGTTTTATGAAGAATAATTGGCAATATGTCAATGTTTTGTATAAATAGACTAACGGTTTCCTCCATTTTTTTATTTATATAATTCATTACATTATTGAAAACATAACACAAACATATTTTATTTAAAGTTTAAAATACTTTCAGTAACTAAATTTAATTATACCATTGTAGTGGTAAACAATTAATCACACTTAATAAGTACATTAAAATAAAATTAAACTCACGTTGAGGTATATTATACCCAATTTCTGTATACCCAAAAATAAACTGTCTACATTAGAGAGACTTTGCCCTGTGCGACACACAAATAAACGGCCCTTCCGGCAGTAAGCGGTTACCAGTACGTTTGAGTAGCCAGTAACTCCTGTTTTATCATTCGTGTGCTGCCAATTATGCTACCCTATAAAATCTGGAAAACCTACTCTCTAGTAGTAATAAAAATATTAAGGCTGGTAACCCAGATGAATAAATTCAATTTTTTTTTCAAAATTGCTAAGTTTGTTTTTCTTAAAGGTTAGCTTTTAAATGCATTAATATCGATAATAATTAGAATCGGCCTATACTTTAAACAAGTTAACCTTGTGTCAGTTTGTGGGATTCAATAATTTCGTCATGTGATAAGTCGACACAAGGAGTCTGGTATAGAGTATAGAGCGTATAGTAGAACTTCTTCTGTGGAACGATTTTGGTTGCATTGTTTGGCTAAACTTGAAAGTTCTTGATGAGCGTCGTCGAGAATGTTGTGGCGCTTAGGGAATCTGAAATCAAGACATTCAGTAATCGGTTATAAATAGGCGATTTGCATCAGTCGGTTTTTTAATATATTTTTCTAACATGTTTATGTTGTAGGCTAATCTAATTGAATGATTGATTTTTGTCGAGAGAGGCGTCTCTGCATCCGAGTTGAGTACACACCAGCATGTCATAAAATTCATTCTGATACTAGTCAGGAATCTTTCAACTCCGTATAATGGACATAAGGTTTTTATTAGTTTCGTTTACTATTTGCGAATACCTGTGAATAGCTTCGTTGTTACTTTATTATAATGTTTTATCTTACGTACTTTGTGCTGTTGGTATTCCGAACAAAATAAAATAAAAATATGTAAAGGAGTATAAGTATTGGAAGTAAAATATGTGATACCCATTTTCATTTACATTTTTACGAGCAGTTGGTAAGTGACTTCCGACACCCATGGGATCGCCCTACAGTTTCGTTTCTTTTAAAGGCAACTCTCGCACTAGGAGTATATTAAGGAGTCAAAAGTTCGCCTTTTGAGTGTCCCACCCAAGGATCAGGGCGAGGACAGTTTGGACTCCCATAACTTCATTCACTGAGTGATAGCAACGGAATAACAAGTTAACACCGATTTTCCGTGAGGCCGTGGTATCATTCCGGTCGAGCCTGCCCATTTCATGAGCGCTGTTTAACATTATATTACAACGATAGAAAACAGGATTACTGGCTACTGAATAATATAGAAGTTTATTTACAGAGTATTTCTGAATGACACATTACTGGTTTATTTACAAATCATCACACAGAGTGTATGACCCTTTATCAACTATGACACCGAGTCCGTCTCCATTACGATTAGTTTACACAAAGGGCAACTGATAATGATATAAATAATCTACTATAAATAGACAATAATATTGTTGCGTACTATTGTGTCGTGTGGAATATATTAAAGTAAGTAAGTAAGTCTATTTAACATATGAAAAATACTTTTTTTTTAAGCGAAATCTTCTTCAGGCGTGTTGGGCATTTTTGAACAACAGACGGATGTATTTTATACGAAAAAAGATACTGTTACCGTTACCTCTGAAGAAGTGAAAACTTCATTAGGCGCGTTGGGCATTTTTTGAGATGGGAAAAAACAATTGAATTCGCGGCACTGTTACCGTTACCGACACCTCTGCATATAAGTTTTCACTTTTGTCGGCACTCCCGGAGTGCCACGGTTTTTTTTTCATGAACGAGTCACCTGTTGGACTAGAGCCGCCCATCCAAACATGCAATTCAAGAGACTGCGTTGCTGAACTTTCAGTGCCTCCCAGACTAAGGGAGAAGTGGGAGGGGAGGAATGTGCCTCTGTAAACTCACGTACTCGGTAAAAAGCCACGAAAGACTTACAATTATTTGTACAATGGCGGACTTTATGTTTGGTTTTCTGTGGGGCCTTAGTATAACTCCGCTCGTGGCGGCCCATTATGTTAGTAGACATTATGACTAATTGTAACGGTGGAGCCACTCCATTGGCCCCACTAAAATGGCGGGCAATGCATAGGTGTGAAAGGCTAGGCGTTCATTACACTTATGCTGATCGACTGATAAAAATGACTTAGAAAAATATTTATATATAAAAATGTTGTTTGTTTGTATACGCTATAAAAACGCAAAAAATTCTGCACCGATTAAGCTCAAATTTTGCCACGGTATACAAACAGCTTCAAATATTGCTTTCACTCAGTTTTGTTCCTCATTTCTCACCAAAGCACCATAATGTGTCACAGCGAAGTTTATCAGGGTACAGCTAAATTAATTATAGCTTTATCTAAAACAAAATACACTCACGCATCATACACAGGTTTGAACGCCCTGTCCAGCTCGTCGTGGTCAATTGGCGCGGTCAAAGTCCCGGCTAACATCCTGACGCAGGCGGCTTCGCACGACAACGCTAGCACGTTCACTCGCACTCGACTCAGCATTGACTGCATACCCAGGTTCACTAGTATTGTGGTTATTTGGGTGTTGATCTAGAGAAAAAAAAACATAATTTAACGTATGTCGTCGTATTTATGGTTTGCCAAGGATAACAATATCATAAAATAAAATAGAACATATTAAGGATTTTTTTTTTAAATTGTTTTATTTTATTTTTTTGTTTTATTTTTTACAGTACCTATTCAGTCAAACTTTGAGTTTACTCAAAATATCTTAATTTTTAATAGTCTTGCTTGTTGACTCTAAAGTCATAGATCAACAAACATAATAGAAACAATCTCTGTTTTGTCAAATTTTTAGCAAACTCAATATCGACCATCGACCGACGACTTGGGACCATCCTCTCTAATTCACAACAGCCACGGGAAAAAGCTATTACAATTATAGTACAAATCCTAGCCTTTCCTTGATACTCAAGATTTGGAGATATAATCATGTAAACACAGAAAAAAAAAACACAAAAACAGTACTTACCTGATTCTCACATTGTCTCTTCGTGTTTTTCGTCATCCGTTCACTGGCCGTTATGAAGGTAACCGAAGTCATACAACTGTTCGACTTTTCGCATTCTGACCAACTCATTGCCCGGCTGCTGGAATCTGATAATTATTATTACTTTGTATTTTTAAGTAACTTAAAAAAGTTGTATTGTAAGCACCAAGCTGGCTAGGAAGCATCTACCCAAACTTTCTTTTCAACACAACTCCCGTATTTTAAACTTTATGCACTTTTTAACAAATACGGACTTAATTCCCAGGGCATTCTCTTCCAGTCAACCTTGGTGGAGAAATCTTGTAATATAAGTTGTGGGAGACTTATGTCCAGCAGTGGATTTCGGTTGAGATGATGATTTGTTAAATGATTTGTTTCAAACATAAACTGTGTATAAAATAGACTTACTTTCCGAATTTCTTAACGTATCATTATAAAGGGGCTGTTGTTTGATGAAATCCACCACATCAACATATGGCATCTTGTATTCTCTGAATCTGTAACAAATTTCAAATACAGATCGTTAAAAAAACAAAGCGACGTGACGTTTTGACGTGTTAAATTCATGTTACATTCATTCACATCATATTTAAGAGCGTGAACTTATTGAATCCTTTTGGATTTCAAGTACTATTAAGATTAGACGTAAGGATTATATTTGATTATTCATAATGGCAAATTTGTCTAAAATAAGTAACTAAAATATAATTTATGGTGAAAATATATCAATGTTTATACGAAGAGTTCAACTGGTTTTTTGACGTAAAACGCTTTGTAGTAATAGTAAATGTGTGTGTGTAGTAAAGTAATTTATTGTCGTTGTGTTGTTTATTCATTGTCGTGTCGCTTTCGACACGGTCGTGGTAACGTCGAAACATTCACGTCGGTAGCAGAGACGAACACAGGCTTTCGAACTATCTCTCGTAATATCTGTCTGTCGTCAGGCTGCAGATTTCACCCGGTCGGTGGTCTTTGCAACTCACCCGAGTCCCTCCCGACAAAAGACGAGAACGCCCTTGTCGTCGTCGCGCAGCACGATGTCGGCCCTGGTGGCGTCGTGCACGTCGGCGGCGGAGGCGGCCCAGGTGAAGCACACGTGCCCGGCCGCCCACAGGTCGCGGCACAGCGCCGCGCGCCGCGCCGCCGCCTGCCCCTCGCGCCCGCTGCCCGCCGCGCCCCACACGCACACGCAGATCAGGGCCGCCTGGAACCGGACGTGGATCTTTGTACAGAACTAAACATGTAAGTACGTTTATCAGCATTACACGGGTTACCGTTGCACAGACTCCGTCTTAGGATCGCCGTTTACCGTGGGAGAGTCATGCTTCGGCGCGAATAGGCCGGTTCGACCGGAGGGATACCACGGCCTCACAGAAAAGCGGTGTTAAGCAATTCTTTCGATGCCTTTCACTAAGTGAGTGAGGTTACCGGAGCCCGAATCCGCCTCCCGATGACTCGAGAGGGAGAAACTCCAAGGACGCCACGCACTTGTGACTTTTGTCACACTTGTGTTTGAGAACCACACGAATATAGTATTAAATGATTATAGCGTGCGAAGGTCACCGCAAGATTACGTATACGTCTTTGCTTCTACGAAAAGGGCTGTCTATCGCATGAATGATGTATAAATCGTGGTAAGATCTCACTCAGTACCAATTTGGACTACATGCAGCCGGATGTGATTTTACACCTACGGGTGTGTACCTCACAAATCCATGGTCTTACCCAGAAGTGAAGTTGCCTGAAAAACCATGTGATTTCAGGAGGGGAGGTACAAACTGCTCCCCGCCACACGGCCCAATAACGGCGTTGCAGACCGTGGCAATACGATCAGGCTGCCACCCTATCCTCTAACGAAATTTAATAACCTTGCATCTTACCATGCTGTCAATCCACCCGTAGATTGTGGAATGACACCATGTCCTGATAAAGCTTGGCTTATGTACTTGCTCGATAAATCTTCTTCAGGTAAAACACGATATTTTTGGTCTTTTTAACTCCTGTATACCAGGATCCACAGCAGTGACCCACGAACACACCGAGTTATGACACTCAGGAAGTCCCAGGAAGAAATTAATCAGAAGAAAATTGGAGGAGTTGGAAATACAGTAAATCCACTTACCTCCTCAGCAAAGCGGGAGACAAAATGAAGTAAAATGGGCATACACCCTTTTAAACAGGGAAGCACCTTACATACATACAAGCACCAATATATTTTTGGTCTCTTAGTTATTACAGTAGTGAATACAATTTGCACACAAAATACATGTAATAAATATATTTGTGTTGGTTGCAGTGATACCGTCGTTCCGGTTTATTTGCCGCACATTTAAGACGAACAATGACACCAGCCACGCCTTATTTAAAAAAATAATAATAAAAAAAAACATTTAATAAATGTGAAAAAAAGCGCTTGTTGTTGCTTTTACTATTGACAGGCACCCAACGCTTTTTTTCAAATTTATTAAAATTTATTTTCTATTTAAAAAATATAATAAATTGAATTGTTTGGATTTCTATAAAAACGTGTTGTTTAGTTTTTTTAAACTATTATATATACTACATCTTTTTTTTTTTTTTTTTTTTAAATTAGTATATTGTCATCGGTCCTCGATATATCTACAAAGTTTGAAAGAATTGTAACCGTTTAAAGTCAGTCAAGATCACGCCCAAAGGAGTCGGTTACAAACAACTTACAAACACACAAGTGAAGCTAAAGAACTTACAAACACACAAGTGAAGCTAAAGAACTTACAAACACACAAGTGAAGCTAAAGAACTTACAAACACACAAGTGAAGCTAAAGAACTTACAAACACACAAGTGAATATAAAGAACTTACAAACACACAAGTGAATATAAAGCGTGTAAAAAGTAGTAAATGTATTAAATAAACAGACCTTGTTTACCTTTATACTTTTTACAGGCTGTGGTGCATCTTGATCAGTCTTTTTCAATATTGCTGCCATTCGTTCCAATGACATAGAGAAGCCGACAGAGCAAGTTTGTAGTTCGCTGTTTTCTTCTTTCTCCGTTTGGGCTACCTTCCAGAATTCTTCGACTAAAATGTCATATCTGTTAAACAAGGTGTAGTATATATGCTACAGTTATTTTTTTTATACATAATAGAGAATTTATTAGTTATTAAAAAGTCTCATTATCATGTTACAGACTTCTCATAGTTTAAAATCAAAAGACAGTGAAGTTTATTAAATTATTATTGCGAGCGCGTACGTCTATTTTGACGTGACAACGTCTTATAATTCGATGGAGCCGGCTGCACGCACGAAATAACATGACTCATGCGGCGTTACCTCGCTCTGAGGCGTTCCATTTAAGGCTTGAAGTGCAAGCGAGAGCGCGGAACGAGCGACGAAGAGGCACAATCGGCCTCCGCGTTCGGCAGCGTTCGACATCTGTCTCTCTCCTACTTGAGTGAGCGATGCGTCCGCGTGGACAGCTGCTATACAATAATACATTTACATGTTTTCGTCAAGTATGAAGTGCAGTGAAAGGTGAATGTGGTGTCTTATGACGTTGTCACGTTCAACTATCGTCAGTAAACCGACTTTACAGACAACCGATTTTTTTAAAATTAAAAAACGTACAATAAAATACTTCAAAAAATGTATTTGAAAAATGATGAGTGAGATAAGTTCGTGTGTTGAGTGTCTGGATGATTAATACTCCCAATTAGAATCGGTAGATGGCGCTGCAATCGCTTCTTACAAATTATTACGATTAGTATTTAAAATTGCCACCTAAATAAAAAGTGTCAAATTCCTTACTTTAATAACCCCCCTATATTGATAACATCTAAGAAAAAAACACATAAGTACCTTCCACCAGCAGCAATAATGTCTCCAGCTCTGTGTTTAGTTGAACGTCTGTTTTCCGTGTTCCTCACCACTGACATTTGCCAGAATATGCCGCTGTGCTGTGTCGCATTGTATGCTAAGAATGGCGCCACTGTCATGGGACACTGATGGGACATTATAATGTGGAGATATACAAATACACATAAATAACCATTAAAAATAGTCAATTGTCAAGTCAACTTTACTTATTATGTTTATCATCAAGCCTTTGATAGTCCACTGCTGGACATAGACCTCTCCTTAGGAGGTTTTGGCCTACTACACCAAGCCGGCCAGACGGGCTGGTTTAGGGTTTGTTTCAAGTTTGCCTTCTCTTTGCAGTGCTGTTGTCTTATGCAATCCTGCTCCCTTAATCGGCTGTGACGACACCCACGGCATGAATGGAGGCGGTGACCCTCCGAATTCCTCATCCGTCAATTAATATATCCGTTTGAAAATTATTCTATCCTGAACAGTTAGGCATTTTAGGCAAACGTAGTGTAAGACACCCACAGGCCAGGTTGAGTGACGATCTGCGCAAAATAGCTGGCAGGAGCTGGATGCCAGAAGTCGAAAATCCTAGGAGATAGATAGGAGAGGCCTATGTCCAGCAGTGGACTGCGATAGGCTGATGATGATGATGAAAGCATTCAGAAGTACAGCCATACAATCCAGTGTCCTCACCTCACATCCTAAAGCTTTCGCATTCCTAGACAGCACTTCCAAACTCGTAACATAATGCGACACCACTTTAGTCCACTTGGCTTGTTTTATCAGCGGGGTGACGAGCTCCCTGACCTCTGCCACCCCCACGTCAGCCTCCAACAGTATCAGCAGATTGGACACGTCGTGGTCTGAGACGCACAGGGAAGTCAAATGTGTTTGGAGCTGGAGACTGGTTATGCGACCTGTTGACAGTATTCATGTAAGAATCCAAAGAAGTATCTCAATGGAAAAACGTTATGTTTTTTTTTTTTTATTATAAACTTAATCACACTTTATTTACATTTGTTTACAAGTTCTCGATTCGCCAAACTGTTCTAACAGTTTGTAGATTAAGGTCATAGCTTATTAGAGTCACTCGACACCCGACCAGCACCGCCTCGCCTCGTGAGGTTAGTATTCTTTGTATGGAGTTTTATAGGTATACGCTCACTACATCAACTCTGGAGCACCTCGCGGACAGCGACTGGTTTACGCGCGAGGGAACGTGTATGTGGTATTGTTTTCTGGTTACCAACGCGGCGACAACGAGTGGATATCGAGTCGAGGTGGTGCTGGTCGGGTGTCGGGTGGGTGTAATGACCTATGACCTTTAAACGCCTATGTTATACCATTACTTTATAATGTGACTCTACTCATATGTTGTACCATTACTTTATAATGTGCCGTTATTGGGTTCTATTACGTAATGCGGCAAGCTTATATCCGGAATGTCCGAGCTCTCTGACCGATTACATAATTTATAATAATATTATAAATCCAATAACTTTTTTAATCTGAACTGTCAGTCAGTCATTAAAACAGAATTACGAATATACAATAATTAAACCGCCGTAAGCTTGGCCCTCCTGATAGTTTGCGGGACGCGGGGCGGGTGATGCGCTCGGCTATACATGACACGATGTACTAACTCGATATCTTCAGATTTATTTGTTTGAGATTTAATCAACACACGATGTAATAAAAATCTAATTTATTTCCATGTATTATAATGTCAGTGTATTGTAAGTTGTTATGATTAATTGTGAAATTTAATACTGTAAAATAATTTTAATAAAATCACCTTATCTTCATCATGTAAATTATATTCAGATACAATTTAAAAATTAAGTAAAATAATAAATATTCTTTATTAGAACTTTAACAGTAGAACCTCTGAAAGCCGAACTTCGTTTTTAAATCTTTTTGTGACGCAGGTCGGCAGATTATCCATGTTGCAAAATAATACCGTGTGTAGCAGTCTTAAGAAAAATAACACGTACAGCCGTGCTTTCACGTCAGTCACTGCCGGCGGACAGCGACGCACTAGCTAATTGGTTGAATGCACCCCCGCCCCGCGTCCCCCAAACCATCAGGAGGGCCAAGCTTACGGCGGTTTAACTATAATAATAATAACCTCACACATCTCACACACAGCCGTCTGGTTCCAAACTAGGCAGAGCCTGTACTATTAGTAACCAAACTACTGATAATCATACTTATACAAGGTGAAAGGGACATCGTAACGAATACTGAAATAGTGTATTCAGACCATGATTCTGAGTCGAAAATCATTGAAATTTTCTGACGGCTTATTTTTAATTCTTAATTTTTCTGGTTAAAAATGATGATTATATCACAATGAGTAGACAGAACATTGTACCGAAACCAATTTAATAAATAACAAAAAACTGCAATGTAATTAATCAAACAGCCGAAGTGCGCGGGACCTCCCCTAAGGCCGCCATTTTGTGTTAATTAATGTGCGTAGACTGTTTGCACTGAATGCACATGTAGTTATTACTTTAGTGCGATACTTACGGGGAATGCCCTTAACCTTTGACAACTGATTGAATGAAATGAATGAAAATTCCAATGATTTTCGACTCAGAATGATGGTCTGAATACACGATTTCAGTATTCGTTACGACATCCTTTACACCGTGTATATTTCTAAATACATACCACAGATAAATTACACCCAGACACAGAACAATGATCGCGCTTATCACATAAATATTTGTCCTGGGTGGGAATTAAACCCACGGCCTCTGGCATAACAGTCCAGATCACTAACCACTATGCCAACAGACCCGTCAATAATTCTGAATATTAAGTAAAGAAGGTATATATTCTATATTACGCTACGACCCTTAGGAGGCAAGAGGTGACAATGAACGCTTACAAAACTGCGAGGAATCATCACTTTACGTATCAAAGGAACAAATAATTTACACTAAATTTTAAGCGTCTGGTATAAATGAAATAAAAGATCACACAGAAAAAGTATGATAAACTAGTTAGTATAAAAATGCCTAAATAATACTCACCAAAGCTGGCATCGACTAATACGTGGTACATTTCCATGTGTTTGTCCATCGGTACTCCGCACGTCACCAGTAAAGTCTTCAACAGTTCCGTATGGTTCAATTGTATGGTTACTTTGAGATTGCTTTCCATTGCAGCTCTGCTTGCCACGACTAGGAGCTCCGCGTCCGACCACAGGGAGTCTAAACGGAAAAGGTGACTACAGTAATATAAATAGTTTTGTGAACTTACAGAGAGTTCTTTCACTCATTCGTTCATTTCGTTCATTCAAATAACACAGGACTTGTTGTCGCCCGAAGTTGTTTTGTTTAGAGTGACCTATTGTTTTCTAGGCAATTTTGTGTGAACTTTCTAGATGCGTCGCGGAATAGTAGCGAGTATAAATACGGGCACGTCTTCGGTAGGGCGATTTCAGTTTATGCCACAGAGCGATAAAACTCGAAGTGATATCAACAACAACAGTGGACTATTACAGAGCTTGTAATGGTCCACTGTTGGACATAAACCTCTCCTTAGAAAGGAGGTTTTGGCCTGCTATACTACGCTGGCCAGACGGGTTAGTATAGGGTATTTTTCAAGGGGTGCTGGGCTAGAAAACCTCCTCGTGGTGCACCCTGGAAACGCTGGCGATGGTACTGTTTCCTCCTTGTCCTCTTGGAGGAGAGGATTATCGCCAGCGGCCAATATTCTAGCAGAAGGACAGCCGTTCATCGGCTCTCGGGCAAGGCCTGGTCCAGCAGGGTGGGCGTGTCTGCCGGTTGCCCTGCTGGCTCTTCGCTCTTCGGAGCATGGAGGAGGAAACCTCGGTAAAAAACCTGATGGCGGGGCCCTGTAGGGGCCACAGTTTCTCCGCTGATAGCGGTGGAGAAAGGAGGACGGGCTCGGCGTGTACTGACACTACCACCGAGCAGGCAGGGGGACGTAGTCTCCCTGTCAACCGTCGGCATATCGCAATCCCGAGAAGAGCGCTGTGGTTAAGTCTCGCGGCTCTGATCGGGGGCGAGGGTCTTGGCTTAACCGCCCGGACCGCGAGGAAGATAACCTCTCTAAAAAAATCCCCGAATCCCGTGTTCTGGTGCGTGGCCAGGGGATGCATGGCTGATGGGAAGTTCAGTCGCGAGCGCACTCCAAGCCGAGGTACCTGCGGACCCCTCGGTTGGGTTAAAAACTTACGCTTGCCCGGGTAATGGGGGATCTCTGCCCGGGTGGACCTTTATTTCTCCCCCACTCGTGGGATCAATTATGCAAACATTAAATAAAAATACGAAGAAACGATCGGAAACAAACACAAACCAGACAAAGGCAAGCAAAACGGATACTGAAACAAAAGGTGCAAGGGAGAAGAGGAACAGTGGAGTCGATGGGTCGTCCACTGAGGGTGAGGTGGCGTCGGGAACGCCCATCTCGATGGGGCTCCCAGAAGTCAGTCTGACTCTGATCTCTGGGAGCCGAAGAGCATCGGATCGGCTGCGTTCCGGATCCGCCGCTTCGTCGGATGGCGCGGAGGCCATGGAGGCGGAACGAAGCGACAGCCGGAAACGCGGACGCTCCAGGGACGAGGAAACGGATACGTCCCAGGAGATGATGCCACCAAAGGTGGCAAGCAGCCGCCGAGGGAGGGCGCGCAAACCGGCATCGGCCCCGGTCTTAACCCCGTCAGGCTCCGCGTTCTCAAACGCGGAGTCCTACAGAAGTGTACGGGTGGACGGCGAGGCCGTAGCGGAGGAGGAGATCGCGGATCTCCTGCTCAAGGTTCGGGAGCCGGTGGGGGGAAATGCCCCCCAGGCTCCCGTGTCCGTGCAGGAGAGGGCGAAAGCGGCGGTGGCCGTCATTCACAAGGTGGCCACCAAGTCCGTGAACCTTAAGGGCTCGTTTGTGAGGGCCCTTAAGGACTCCTCCTCCGCTTTGTCGGAGGTCGTGGGGGGCCTAGTGGGCGACGTTTCGCGCCTACAGGTGGCCAACGAGAGGCTGACGGAGCGGGTGAATGAGCTGAGTGCTCAGTTCGCCCGCTTCCAGGCGAACCTCCCCGAGCGGGAAGCCCCGTCCGCGTCCCAGCCTGCCCCTACCACTAACTCAGGGGCATTTGACTCCCAACTGCGAGAAATCCTCATCGCAGTTGGGAATATGCTGGACGGACGCCTGGCTGGCCTGGAGGCGAGACTGCCCCCTGCGCCGATTATGCGCCCCCCGCTCGCGTCGGCACAGCGGCCTAAGGCCGCCGCTCCGACCGCGCTCCCCGTTGTGGGAGGCCGCGTTTCTTACGCGGCGGCGGCGTCTGCCCCTACTCCATCGGCTCCACAAAAGCCGAGGAGGGGGGCCAAGGCACCGGCCCAGGCGCCGGCCAAGGCACATCCCCAGGCGCCGGCCAAGGCACATCCCCAGGCGCCGGCCAAGACGGGGCCTAAAACGGCGCCGAGGAGCGGAGTGGCATTCCCTCCGCTCCCCACTCCGACGCCCCTGCCGGGCCCCTCCGCACCTGCCCCCTCCAACGAGGGTTGGCAGGAGGCGAGGGGCTCCAAGAAGTCCCGAAGGCGGGCCAGAAAGGCTGCCCAAAAAGCAGCCCAAGCCCAGCCTTCGCCACCCGTGGCAACGGCCTCTGCAAAGAGGCCGCGGAAGCTGCAGCCGCCCAAAACCGCGGCTGTAGTTGTGACCGTGTCCCCGAGGGGATTTCCACACGTTAAAAAAAAAAAAAAAAAGGGTATTTTTCAAGTTTTCCTTCTCTTTGCAGTGCTGTTGTCCTGCGTAGTTTGCACCCTTAAGTGCCTCGTACGACAACCACGGGATGAATAGGGATGGTGAGACTCCGAATTCTTAATCTGTCACCACACGGACAGGGACGATATTAGCGAACAAAAGAGTAACTCAGCGACCTCGGCATTCTTTAAAAAACTTTGCCTAATAAAACATCTGTTAACAACTGACGAGTCTTAAGAGAGTTTATAACAGTTTAGAAAGAAGAAGAAGAAGAGAGGAAGAGATCCTCAAATTAACTTTTTATTGAATGAGTCTACTAAATCAACGTATGTATATCCTGTTTAATTTCTCACCTTTAAGTATCCAAAATAAGTCGAAGTTAAACTGAGCTATAATACAAACACAAAAAAATACAATTTTCACAAAGCAGACTACGATAGGATCCGTACATATTTATCAACGATCAACTGGATAGCAACATTCGATCCCATGAATAACGTAAATGATATGGTAAAAGTATTTTATGACATTGTTTGGACTGCGATAGAAAATTATGTCCCAAAATATATCAAAAAACACAATAATTATCCTCCATGGTTTTCCCGCCCTCTGATAAAGTCTTTAAAGGAGAAGTACAAACTGAGATGTCGCTTAAAAAAATACAAGAACCCTTTAGATGAGCTTGAGCTAAGAATAGTAAGCAAGCGATGTTCTTCTATGATCATCGCTTGCTATAATCAGTATGTCGCGAGATTAGAGGAAAAAATTGTAAAGGATGTAAAACATTTTTGGTCTTATGTAAAAGCTAAACGCGGGGGCTCCAGTTCCTATCCAGTCTCTATGTCGGATGGTAATGTAAGTACTTCGGATGGGCCGAGTATATGTAAAATGTTTGCGACGCATTTTTCGTCTGTATATAGTAACAAAAAAGAAACAGCTACAACAAGGGCTTCAGAGTCAGACTATTTGACCAATATGGCCAACTTAAGTTTGAACTTATTGCTCCCGGTCATAGAGTACGATAGTTTGTTGGCAAAACTAAAGAGTCTGGACTGTACCAAGGGAGCTGTCCCAGATGGTGTGCCGCCCTTATTCGTTGTGACCTGTGCTGAATATCTTGCTAAGCCTCTGCTGCTAATTTTCAACAAATCTCTATCTACTGGAACCTTTCCAGGACAGTGGTAGACTGCTAAGATAGTCCCCATCCATAAATCAGGAAATGATACTTTTGTCGCTAACTACCGCCCCATTTCGATACTATCAACATTCGCTAAAGTATTCAAATCTCAAGTATGTCCACTCATACAAAAATATTTTAGGCTATATATCACTGATAGTCAACATGGATTTGTGACTGCTAGATCTACCAGCACAAATTTAGTGCCGTTTTCAGAGACCCTAGCTGAAGCGATGGATTCCGGCAAGCAGTTCCATGTGATATACACCGACTTTAGTAAGGCATTCGACAGAGTCCAACATAAAATTCTCCTTCGGAAGCTGTCAGTATATGGTATCACCGGAACCATGCTAAAATGGTTGGATTCATATCTGGATGACCGTACTTTCTTTGTTGTCGTCAACGGCTTTAAATCTGGGGTCCGAGCCATCACATCTGGTGTTCCACAAGGTTCTCATATCGGTCCGGTGTTGTTTAACATTTTTGTTAATGACCTGCCTACATGTTTCAATTTCTCAAAAAATTTCATGTTTGCGGATGATTTGAAGTTTGGAAGAGAAGTAGAATCCTTAGACGATGCCCTTTTGCTACAAAACGATATACATCGCTTAACAACATGGTGTGAGCAAAATGAGATGCAACTTAACACTCAGAAGTGCTTTCACATCAAGTTCTCTCGGAAAGCCAACATAACAGAAAACAACTACTACATAGGTAATGAGCGAATTCAGGAGGTAGATCAAATAAAAGACTTGGGAGTAATCATGGATAAGAAGTTTACATTCCTTCCTCACATGGAAAACGTCATTAAACGGGCGTCTCAAATGCTTGGATTTGTAATACGCAATGGAAAATTTTTCCGTAGCAGCAAGCCTAAAATCCTATTATACTGTAGCCTGGTGCGTAGCATCCTTGAATACTGTAGTGTTGTCTGGAGGCCACATTTTGCAGTCCACTCAATGCGTATGGAGCGTATTCAAAAAAGGTTTATGTGGCATTTGTCATATAATCATCAGCATATCAAAAGAGACACTCCCTACAAAAAAAAGCTTAAGAAATTCGGTATGAACGCTTTATCGGATCGTTGGGATGTTAACGATAATATCTTTCTGTATAAAATTCTGCATGGCATTGTCAGTTGCCCGCAGCTACTGGAAAAAAATAATTTGCGTGTTCCAGCTAAATACCCTCGGTACCGAATCACACCCTTCTACCCTCCACTACGTAGGACAGTTTATGGAGCCAATTCACCGATTCCCAGGCTCTCAAGGTTGGCAAATCAATCTAGTGCTTTTGTCGATATCAATGCAGTCTCGCTTAATAAGTTCCGATTCACACTTTTGAAATATTATCGAGATAAATAAACATGCAACCTATCCATGTTTAGTATTTTGTTAGTTTTAATTTTCTTCTTTTGTTTGTATAAAGTGTCAAAACAGTGCATGTTGTATTTGCCTATAAGTATTTGTTACACTTTACTTAATATTATTTGTTTCTAAAACTCTGTAGCATGTAAGCGTGCAAACAAATGTTGGCAACTCATAAATAAATAAATAAATAAAAAGTGTTAAATTACAATACTTAATTGTAATAATTATCACTATTTTAGGTGGTCAGTAATACTTTTTAATACAATCTCGTCAAGACAGTTCATTAGTAATTTACTTAATTCATGCATAAGTTTATAATTGCATCGACGGACTTAATGCCCAAGGTATTATCTACCAGTCAACCGATTGGGGGATGCAGAGAAAGCTAGAGATGCACTTAAAAGAATCTTATAAATGGTAGAAGTTAAATACCAGCTAAATTTTGACCTTACAATATTTTTATTATTATTATTATTAACTACGTGCGCTCCAAGGTGTTACCCACGGTTTTATTTTAATATTTCAATTCTTTGCTCATCCCACGGGATTTGATACCCTAGATTAACACATAGACATCCAGCTGCGTCCATACTAAATGTTTTCAAGAAAAAAAGTTGTACAGACACAGACAAAATTTCGCCTTTATAATATTAGTGTGATATATTTACCAGTTTTAGGTGTGACGATGTCGAAAGCGCATTCAATCATCTCTCTTGGATGAAACCCTTTGACATGCTTCTCTCTGTACACTCGATCTACGATATATCGACGCATATATTTTATCCCCGAGTACGCTGTGTGCCTGCAAAATTAACATTCAATTTCGAACTCTATGATTAAGGTATTTAGGTTACTATTCTTTTTTTGTTTATTATTTTCGCCTCGATCGTCATCCGCACTAAACTGTTCACCTAACTAACACTGGGCCTAACCAGATAGATCTTTCTGTACTATTCTGCACACTATCAATGTCAGATACAGAAAACTCTAGTAATTCTATTTTTAAAAAGACAATTCCCGCACTAGGAATAAATTCTGTGTCGCTGGGGACTTTACAAACATACATGAAAGGTACACAAAGAACACCCAGACTTAGAACAACAATTTGTGGATCACACAAAGTGTCGACCCATGTGGGGATCGGACCCACAACACTCAGCGTAGTAGTAAGCGGCGTGGCGACCGCGGAAACCAGTGCAGTCTATTACAACGGAAATACATGATATTTGTTAAGTACTTTAGACATTTAAGAATATCGACTAACAAAGCAATACATTTGATACGTTTTAGCTCGTACAGAAACGTCCTGATAATATATGGCGCCGTTATCACACGCTATACATCAAATTACTTAATTATTTTTTTTGTTTATATTCGGGAGTTAAAGTTGTCTTAAAGCAATTTATAGTCTTGCATCCTGCTGCTTGGTATAATTATTCAATGTGAAGATGAGTTTGCTTGTTTGTTTGTTTGATTGTAAAGCTTTCACAAAGTAACTACTCCACCGATTATGAAATAATAACAATAATAATATTCTACTACATGAACACAACGCCATCTAGTCCCAAACTTAGCAGAGCTTGTGCTAGACAGATGATATAAATATATAGTTTTTTTGGTAAATACATATATATTATTAAACATAGACTAAATCAAACATTAAATATTGACATACACAAATGTTTGACTTGACCAGGAATCGTAGCAGTTTTTTTTTAATTTTGTATACTTTTTACATTTAGTCAGTTGTTTAAAACGGATATGTTACTGGTAACGGTGAAAACATCTTATTATTCTGAAATTTTACTAATTTACATCAATATTCTTAAACACTACCTAAAGGGCCTAGTGTAGGTTTATTTCACATCAACTCGCTCTCGACGGTGCGATTGGTGAAGATCTCAGTGCGGGCCAATAGCAGCGCGTCAGCCAATCCCAGTAACGATCGATTAGATGTGAAGTAAACTCACACTTGGGCCTCAGAGCAAGCTCACTTTGCATGTTATAGTGCAGTTGAAACAATTTTTATTAGTTTAGTTTTTAATTAATAGAAGGCGTTATTAGTTTTTGTAAATCGCGATATTAGTTCAAATGTGTTAAAGAAATGATTGTGTGCACTCTAGAACGTACGCTCGATTTTTAACTTAAAGGTATTATTATTCTTTGGTTGTGAATCTCGGTTTCGTTCTAGATTATGCTACAATGATACCTCGCGGGTTCGATTGGTCGGGCTTACTTCTCAGTTTATTACGCTTATGTACTATACATTGGACTATTTCAGGTGTCGCAAAGAGTGAGATATTCATCCACAGTACTTTACCTTGCAAACGGTAATCTCAAATCATGGGGCAGATGACACACGGACCCTGAGGCAGTCATCACCTTTACCGCGTTGGGGTATTGGTCCCACCTCCTGGCGCGTGGTATCAGTAGTGGGGGAGAGAATTCTTTTGCTCCATGACTTCGGAATACCTGGTAAGGAATAAATCAGTTTTGGCATTTCATTTGCTGTTTTAAATGTTAAGACGCATTCGAATTATAACAAATTATAATAGTAGATTTCGATGTGAGCATCAAAGCAGGTAAAGAAGTTCTATAGTTTCTTTAAGGAAGCCGCCGTTGATATTGAAAAATGTACATTAGCGCCATCTAGTGTTGATCAATCTTTACTATAAACATATTCTGCATCACGCAAGAGAGTTCTCGATGTTATTTCAATATCAAAAATATTGGAATTCTTGTTGGTATTGAAACAACTACGGTGGAGCGAGACCGGGAGAGATTTAAAACTTTTCCGCTCCGCTAGGCCCGGGTACAGGCCAGGTATCGCAGACGACTTCTCCATGGGCGCAGGCCTGGGGATCCCCGGCTAATGATACCTGAGATGTCGGCTTGCGTACCTTAAGCACTACGTCGCTGAGCGCGCGGTGCAGGTCGGAGGGCCCGGGCGCCATGTCGTTGTGGTAGGTGAGGTCCTCGGCGGGCGGCGGGCGCTGGTCCAGGCAGGCGGCCACGAGGCGCGCGTAGGGCCGGGCGGCGCGCTCGCTGAGCGCGTGGCGCAGCAGCCCCGCCAGCGCGCCCTCGCCCAGCGCGCGCGGCACGTGGCGGCTCGCCAGCAGCTCCGCGCACGTCGGCCGCAGGGACGGCTCGTGGTTCAGCAGCCACCTGGTGCATACAAACATTATTCCGATCAATTTTATTATAATCGCTTGAGCCGAGAAAGCGTTACAATCATCATCATCATCAACAGCCTTTAATAGTCCACTGCTGGACATAGGCCTCTCCTTAGAAAGGAGGTTTTGGCCTACTATACCACGCTGGCCAGACGGGTTGGTATAGGGTTTGCTTCAAGTTTTCTTTCTCTTTGCAGTGATGTTGTCCTGTTACGCATTTATGACTCTTGAGTTGCCAAAATCTAAAATAAGTAGTCACTTATCAGGTAAAAAAAAACAGACAAAAATTATATTACACAGACCTGATAACATGTATTTGCTTCTCATTATCCTCCTTCTCGAAACCTTTCGGCAAAGTAATCTCCTTACTTCTCAAATCCGTGAGCAACAGCATCCGTTCCATCCCTGTATCCAGTGGGGGGTGGAACATCTCGAAGAGAATAATCCCCAAAGAATAAATATCTACTTTTTGGTTGTATATCACTTTGGTAGTAGCTTGCAGTAATTCAGGAGCTACGTATAGGGCTGTGCCGATCTGCAAAGATTTAATTATGTTTAATGATTTGTGGTTTGAAAATTTAATTTTGTTTATAAAAATTGCTTCCCATCAACAGCCTATACTAGACCACTGCTGGAGATAGGCCTCTCCTTAGAAAGGAGGTTTTGGCCTACGATACCACGCGGTCCAGACGGGTTGGTATAGGGTTTGTTTCAAGTTTTCCTTCTCTTTGCAGTGCTGTTGTCCTGCTTAGTTTGCTCCCTTAGTCGGCTCTTACGACACCCACGGGATGAATTGGGGTGGTGACAATTTGTATTCTTAATCCGTCACCACACGCGCAAATTGCTTCCATATTTAATTAATTTTTCAATACTTTAATACAAAACAGTATTAAACTATTATACCATCTCTACATATTTTACACTTTGTAATTTAGGATATTATTAACACAAATAAACTGACTGAACTGATTCAAAATCTCAACTAGTTCAGAAGGTACGGATGCTAAAATTCGCCTAAAATGCATTGTGTGGAAGCAAATCTAGTTCATCATCATCATCAACAGCCTTTACTAGTCCACAGCTGGACATAAGCATCTCCTTAGAAAAGAGGTTTTGGCTTACGATACCACGCTGGCCAGACGGGTTGGTATAGGGTGTGTTTCAAGTTCTGGACGAGGCGGGTAAATTGTTTGAGAGGGTGCTCTCTGCCCGCATCGTCCGCCACCTTTACGAGGTGGGCCCGGACCTGTCGGACGCCCAATTCGGTTTTCGAATAAGGCGTTCGACGGTGGGCGCTGTGCTACGCCTGAGGGCCGTGACCGAAGAGGCGGTGAGCTGTGGCGGCGTGCTGTTGGCGGTGTCATTGGACATCGCCAACGCATTCAATAGTCTGCCATTCAGCTGCATCAGGGAAGCACTACACTTGCATGGGGTGCCCAAGTACCTGAGGCGGCTAGTGGCAGTCTATTTAGAGGAGCGTACCGTCGAGTACGAGGACCAAGCTGGTAATCTGAGGTGTGGGCCCATGTCGTGCGGTGTTCCACAGGGGTCTGTTCTTGGACCCCTCCTGTGGAACATAGGGTACGACTGGGCCCTTCGAGTGGAGTTTCCCCCTGGGCTGGGTGTAATTTGTTACGCCGATGATACATTGGTCACAGCCCGGGTGGCGAACTTTCAAGAGGCGGCGCGCTTGGCCACCAGGGGAGTCTCTCTGGTAGTCGGGCGAATTGAGGCGCTGGGCTTACGGGTGGCCCTGGATAAGACGGAGGCCCTCTTATTCCATGGGCCCCGGCGGGTCTACCCCCCGGCACCTCAATTGTGGTCAACTCGGTAATCGTACCGGTTCGGGCCCAGATGAAATATCTGGGCCTGATCCTCGACGGGAGGTGGCTCTTCGACGAGCACTTCCGACAGCTGGCTCTAAAGCTGGTCGACGCTGCGTCTGCCCTTGGGCGACTTCTACCCAATCTAGGTGGACCCAGCGTCGCAACGAGACGGCTGTACACAGGGGTTGTCCGGTCAATGGCACTGTATGGTGCACCGGTGTGGGCGGCGGCTCTGATCGCCCAGAATAGGGCACGCCTCTGGCGACCTCAGAGAATATTGGCGGTTAGAGCCATACGCGGTTACCGCACCGTTTCGGCGGAAGCGGCGTACGCGTTGGCCGGTACTCCCCCGTGGGACTTGGAGGCGGAAGTGCTCGCCGAAGTATATCGGCGGACGGCTGGTTTCCGTCCGGATCACTATCCGCAGTCGGCCCCTGCCCGAAGAGATAAGCGAGTGGCGTAAGGCCGCTCGCCGAGCCACGATGGCTCGTTGGTCATCCCGGCTGGAGGCTCCACGTGCTGGCTTTGCCGCTGTGGAGGCGCTCCAGCCGGTCATCGTCGAGTGGGCAGGGCGGCAGCACGGTACCCTTTCCTTCCGGCTGACGCAGGTCCTTTCCGGGCATGGCTGCTTCGGGAAGTACCTGCACTCGGTCGCTAGGTGGGAATTGAGTCCCGCCTGTCACCACTGCAATTGCAGTGAGGACTCGGCTCAGCACACGCTGGCAATTTGCCCGGCTTGGGCGCCGCAGTGCCGGGTCCTCATTGCAGTCATCGGGGGGGATCTCTCGCTATCGGCCGTCATAGGCTCCATGGCCGGTAGCGACAGATGTTTTAATGCGGTCGCATCCTTCGAGACGTCGCCTAAATAGAGAATGTACCTGAAGGTGGTGCCCGCATCGTTGCGGGCAGGCGCTAGGGGTCCGGAGGTCCTAATAACAGCAGTTCCCGGAGCCCTCCTATTACACAGGCGCAGAGTGGCACACCGTGTGGTTTTAGTCGGTCCGATTCCGACACACCACCCCGCCGCAAACCCCGGTGGGGTGACGGCCCGAGGGGGTTTCCACACGTTAAAAAAAAAATGGTGTGTTTCAAGTTATCCTTCTCTTAACAGTGCTGTTGTCCTGCGTAGTTTGTCCCCTTAGTTGGCTCTTACGACACCCACGGGATGAATATTCTTAATCCGTCACCACAAGGATAAAATTTAGTTGAGAGACCTTAACTTTAGACATGCCTGTAAATAATTACCACTCTACATATTGCAGTGATGCGCGTACCTAAAAAAAATTTACTAATAATAAGCATGGTAATTTAAAATGTTACTAAATAATATACTTCATACCTGGCCAGTCAGTGAACCTCGCAGTTCCTCTTGTTTAGTCTTTTCTAAAAAAAAAAAAAAACTTTTTTAAATTTTTGTTTCAACTTTTGAACTAGGAATGATTCCCGTGTCGCCATGTGTGAGAATTATACATACGTCTTTTTACACGCTTTATATTAGCTTCAATTGTATGTTTGTTTGTAACCGACTCCTTTGGGCGTGATTTTGACTGACTTTAAACGGTCAGAATTCGTTCAAACTTTGTAGGTATATCGAGGACCGATGACAACACATTAATAAAAAAAATAATAGTTTTAAACTAAAAAACACGCTTTTTATAGAAAACCAAACTAAAAAATAGAAAATAACATTAGTTTTTTTAAACTATTTTTTCTTTAATATTTTTTTTAGGATCTGTATACTATGTATATTTCTGTATAGTATACGATTAACATATACTATTGCTTTGATTTGTTTGGCACTTATGTTACGGCACTTATGGCACATAAAGTTTTGGGACACCATTGTCAGATATACGCGACTAAGCATTTTTTTTATACAAAGTAAATTTAAATTAAGATTTTTATAATATCTTACCATCAGCTGAAGGCGGCGCAGTAAACACTTTAGTCGCAAGTCCAAAGTCCCCAATTTTAACGTGATCGTTTGAGTCCAAGAATATGTTGACCGGCTTTAAGTCTCGATGTATCATGCCTCTCTGGTGAACGTGAGCTAGACCTTCTACTATCTCTCTACATAAAATAATAAAAATATAAATATATATTATCAAAAATGCCAAAATTAGGTTTTTCATACATGCTTGGCAAACATTTATAGGTCACTGTAAGTGCAATATTTTGATGTGAAACATCTAATGCCAGGGTCAGAAAAGGTCAGGGCTGTTGCAGTGGCGACGCGTCGCTACGCCGAGCATCCCCAAGGCTTGCGTCCCCACGCTATGTGATAGTAAATTGATATTTGTCCTATATATGTATTATTTCCTTTCATTGGACTGGCAATTTCTAGTAGGTATAATGTGCAATATGTATGTTTTTACAAATACCTAACTAACTTTGACAAAGTATTATCGACTTCAAGACGCCTACAACACTATGAGTTGTAATATACTGTGTTTTGCATATCTACCTTAATTTGCTACCTTTAGAGATGGTATACATTTTGAATTACTCCAAAGGTATACCTACCCTTATACATAAAGAGAAGTTCAAAAGAAACAAAACAAAAAAAATACACAAAATATTTAATACCTAAACAACCTCCAAGCTCTGTAATTCTCTCGATACAGGCCGTTATCGATGGCCTGCCGCAGCGTGTGTTTCTCGCAGAACTCCATTTGTATGTAAAGCACTTTTTGTACCCTCTCAGAACTAGTGGTGGCCACAGGTGCATCCACTACATCTTCTGAGGGTATAGTCTGTGACTGGTTAGAGTCTACTTCGAACTGTATACCGCAGCTTGATTCGTCTTCGGGTCTGAAACGATTGACGTAAGAGTTACGAGTAAAGTTCTATTTTAACACAAATATTTGTATAAACTAAGGTCTGTTTGTACTCTTCTAGATATTTATTTATAACTAGCTGGCTCGGCAAACGTTGCTTTGCCATATACGTTATTTCAAATTTTTTTTGTCAAAAAAAAAGTTAGGTTTATGAAAAATAGATGTTGACCGATTCTCAGACCTACCCGATATTCACACAAAAGTTTACGAAAATCGGTATAGCCGTTTCGGAGGAGTTCAACTTCTAACACGTGACACGAGAATTTTATATATTAGATAATTATTACTCATGATCCAATTGTAGGCTTTAAGTATGCAAGTGCTTTAAACTTGTCGACGGAGTCATCAGTATAAGGGTTTATAAAGTGTTTTTATTTTATATGTAAGTGTTAGAAAAATATTGTGTTTAATTTTAATGTCATCATCATCATCAACAGCCTTTAATAGTCCACTACTGGACATAGGTCCCTCTTTATAAAGGAGATTTCGGCCTACTATACCACGCTGGCCAGACGTCTTGCAATATACAACTTCCCACCAAAAACCGTTGGGCTGTGGTCCGTCAGGCGAAGCCTGATCACGTCGCCTGGTCGGAGGATCCCCCGTTTGTACTGAAGGGGACATATAAGTACACACGTTCCTCCACATTATTACCCAAGACATTCTATATAAACGAAACTACAAGTCAATGATCATATGTAATGTAGGTAGAAAAACAACACCAACTAACAATATAAAAAAAAACATACTTAATCATATTAAACCAAGGGTCTCTCTCGTCGTCTTCATCACTGTCCTCGCTGTCAGACGTCGAATTGGTCTTCTGAACTGGTCCCTCTGACATGGACCATTCCACTTTCACTTCTTGGCCCAATTTTGCAATGACCCCTGTGAAATATAAGAAAATTACCAATGTAATTATTTATGTCTAAGAAGATATTAGATGAATTTGGACACACACAGGATGAAAGACTTGTCATATAAGAGACTCCGTAAATAACATAATGCGCAAGAATATTAGCGCAATAAGTATTGTCAAATCTTGTTTAAAGGGTGATAAATTAGATTTGAAAACTATTAATAATAATTAAACTTCACACATCTCACACAAGACAGTCTAATTCAATACTAGGCAAAGTAGGTGCTATGGTAACCAGACTGATGATAAAAAAACTTAATTGTCTAATTAGATGGTATTACGTCTGTTAAAAAGCCAATACGAATGAACTTTTTTTTTTTTTGGGACTAATCCCACCCACACGCCCACCACTGTAACTCCTGTACACCAGGATCCACAGCAGTGACCCACGAACACACCGAGTTATGACACTCGGGAAGTCCCAGGAAGAAATTAAACTGTCTTGGAACCCGCAACGAAATTAATCAGAAGAAAATTGGAGGAGTTGGAAATACAGTAAATCCACTTCCCTCCTTAGCAAAGCGGGAGACAAAATGAAGTAAAAATGGGCATACACCCTTTTAAACAGGGAAGCACCACGGCCACAAATATTACGGGTCCTACGTAAGCTATGTTTGATTTCTATAATATGTATGGCAGAATCGCCTAAACGCACGGAAATTCACCCTAGTTGACACAAGATCCCCATAGTTTACCGCCCCAGATGTCACCTGCAAGCTATTCAGCATTATATTACGTTCATTATACCAAAGACTACATTCCCAGAGGATATGATGAGCAGACTGTTCATAGTGAGAGTTAGGTGTTGAGCATTGACACAATGGTGACTCGACTAATTTAAATGAATAAAGCTTGCTCTTAAAGTTACCATGACCCGTAAGAAATTGAGCGACACAGTGATCCACCTCAAGCCATATCCTCGACAACCGTTCGCGAACAGATGGAAAGAATTGGTAAAGATGGCGCCCCTTGGATGATTCATCCCAGCGTTGTTGCCATTCGTCTATGAGGTCGTTATAGACATCGGGCTGCTGTTGAAGCAATCTTGTAATTTTACCGCGATCCCGCGCGCCCAAAAAATCGCATTCCATGTTTTGTTGTCTTGAATAGTACATGGCTGCACGTCTCTGCACCTCGAGATCGACCGGAAGCACACCCGCCAACACCGGCAAAGCCTCAGTGCTAACCGTCCTATATGCCTTACACAAGAATATCAGTGCAAGTCGTTGGCCTTGTAACAGTTTGCGACGGACAGCGCCTACGGTCGCCCTATCGGCCCATACAGGTGCACCATAGCACATAGAACCTAAATAAGTAGCTCCGTATATGATCTTTAATGTATTAAATGATAGACCCCATGTCGCAGTTGATATCCTTGTCAATGCACAGAAACTCTTTTTAGACTTGTCATTAACTATTTTAATATGTTCGATAAATGAAAAGTTTCTTTCTAAAACTAATCCTAGATAACACACTGTGGTTTTATTTTTTACAGTAACATTGTTAAATCTAATGCTCGGCGGTGATTTGAGGTTACCTTTTAAAAGTAGCTGGAAGGTTTTGTTGGGTGCAAAAGTTAAGCGATTACGTTCACCCCATTGAGGTATCAAGTTCAAACATCTATTGGCTAATCTATCAAGCCCCGCCCTAGTATCAGATTCCACCAGTAATAAGCCGTCATCAGCATACGCGTTCAGAGTACATCCGGATGGTATTGGTATCGCAAGAAAATCGTCGAAGCCGATATTCCACAAGTATGGACCTAGCACCGATCCCTGAGGACATCCCATTGTAAGCGCCTTCGACACAGAATGATGACCAAGTCTTAGTTTAGTTGTACCTTGTGAAAAGTACGAAGAGATAAGGGAATAAATATTTTTAAAGCACCCCCGTGATTTTAATTTCAGCAACAGCATGGGCCACCATGCGTTGTCGAAGGCGCCAGATATATCTAAGAAAATAGCCAGCACGTATTGAAATTTTGACCCTGTGACAAACTTTCTAACCGATATAACAGCGTCAGTTGTCGATTTACCCAACGTAAATCCAAATTGTCTATCATGAAATTTGACTCCACCTGGCAGAAGCCGGGGCACTACAAGACGTTCTAAAAGCTTTCCCAACGATGGTAACAATGTGATTGGTCGGTAGGATTTAGGATCATCCGGTGGCTTGTCGCCACTTTTTGGTATTATACGAATATTACCGCACCGCCATATACGAGGAAATATTCCTTCAGCAATGCAACGTTTAAAGACAGTGAAAATCGTGTCACCCGAAAGTTTACGAGCTTCTTTTATCATTTTGTTAGATATTTTATCATCGCCCGAAGCCTTGTTTAGCGGCAAGGATCTAATGATACCGAGAAATTCGTCTGAAGATGGTAAATCAGACATTGGAGATAGTGGTGGTTCGATGGCCCACTGCCTGATCTGTCGGTGATGATCAGTGTCGTTCTCCGGTCGATCGTCAGGTACGAGTGAGTCTAAAAGATATTCTGCTGTTTGTTCTACTCCTGTGGTATATCTGTTATTAATTTTGATGTTCTGTATGTATGCAAGGTCGATTGATCTATTTGCTTTAAATTCGTGATACAAAGGTGACCACGGGCCCTCTCTATCGAGTTTATCAACAAGTTTCTGAATTAAGTTTCCCTTGGATTTTTCCACAGCAGCTCTGTAGTGGGACCTGGCAACTCTAAGAGCAATGAGAGCATTGTTGTACAAATCTCCTGTTACGTTATGTTTTTTAATAGTGTTTAATTTTCTACGAGCTTTCCGGTAGCTTCTACGTAGTTCGGCTAATCTATCATTCCACCAATCACATCTACGAGTGTTAGTGATAGATCCGCGACCAATAGTTACATCAGCGCAGTATGTAAAAGTTTCTGATAGTATTTCTGCGCTTTCCTCAGCTGATAAACTACTGCGACTGAAGTCTTTGGTATGAGTTGCAAAGAGTGAACCAAACAAAGCCCAGTTCGCACCTTTAGTTTTATATCTAAAATTATAGGGAGCCTTTTGTGGATCCTGTGCAACCCTTGGTATGAATTCGTACACGATCAAGCGGTGATCACTACAGGATGCGTCCGGAAGGACACGCCATCCGGATATCGAGACGTCGCCGCGCGTAAGCGTCACGTCAATAGAAGACTCACCCATTGGGTTGCAAAAAGTTGGTGGTGCATCGGGGGTATTGTGAATAATAAGATTCATTTCCGCAATGAAATCTTCAACCGCACAACGTCGAACCGTGTCGGTTGAACGCAACTTGCCATACCATAATGAAGATGACGCATTGACATCAGCGCCAATGATAATTTTATGTCCCACGAGGAACTGCAAGACGTAACGTAAGTGATGTAAGTGAGGATCAATAGGATGTGAATATTGAAAATAGCAGCTCACTACGTAAACCTTACAGGTAGAGGATGAGATCTCAGCAACGGCGCAGTGTGACGTCATAAGATTACGCAAAGATGTTACCGTAAAATTAGAACTTGCAACATATATCCCAGCCTGCGAACGGCAGTCAAGCTGTACTACATTACGACGCAAGTGAGCGCTCTGATATTGTTACGAATACATACATACGAATGAACTCTATGAAGTAAACTTAAATGATATCTATGAATATGTGTGAAAACTAGTCGGCTAATATTAGTTATTTAGTACATTTAAACTACTACCCGTAGTTTGGTAATCTATACTAATATTATGAAGCTGAAGAGTTTGTTTGTTTGTTTGTTTGAACGCGCTAATCTCAGGAACTACTGGTCCGATTTGAAAAATTCTTTCAGTGTTAGATAGCCCATTTATCGAGGAAGGCTATAGGCTATATATCATCACGCTAAGACCAATAGGAGCGGAGCACCAATGAAGAATGTTTCAAAAACGTAGAAAATTTATTACTATTGAGAGACGCAGACGAAGTTGCGCGGGTCAGCTAGTAGTTTATAAAATTCAATACCTGTTGTATCCTGAGTAAGGTCAGCTTGACGAGACAGAATCCAGCAGCAGTTAAAAAGAGTTGAAAATGATAAATTATTTTTATATTTATTTAAGTAAATAGTTTTATATAATGCTTTAATATTAAGCCATTAGTAATCATAACATTCTGTTTACGGGTCTGTTGGTGTAGTGGGTTCGATTCCCATCCAGGTTAACATTGTGTGATCATTTGCTCTGTATCTAGTTGTAATTTGTCAATAGTTCATACGTATTTAAAATATATCAGTATGTTATTGTATACCCCGTGTGGTGACGGATTAAAATATAGTGCATCACCGCCCCTATTTATCCCGTAGGTGTCGTAAGAGCCGACTAAGGGAGCAAACTACACAGGACAACAGCACTGCAAAGAGAAGGAAAACTTGACACAAACCTTATACCAGCCCGTCTGGTCTTTGTGGTATAGTAGGCCAAAACCTCCTTTCTAAGGAGAGGTCTATGTCCAGCAGTGGACTGTTAAGGGATGTTGATGAGTATGATGTTTATTTAGATATACATATATGTCCCGTTTGACGGGAATGGACTTGTCCCTTATGTCAGACAAAAGTTGTTCTCCGCAAAATGTGGGCGTTTATATAATACCTCTGTTTACTACGACTACGTCGACTACACGAATGGCGTAGTGGTTGAAACGGTCACTCCGCCGCTTCCTACTGGGCATAGTATCGTGGGTTCAATCCCCACAACACTTTGTGTAATCCACAAATTATTCATCGAGTCTGGTAGGGTCAAAGGGAAGAGGTATAGGGTTGGTGTGTTAGGAAATAGATAAAAGGAGGAAATCCAAGTAGTATATATATATATATATACAAAAGTGATTATATCCCACAAATATGTACCCACAAGAAAATTGTAACTTTAATGATAATGTACTTCTGCAATTCTTTCTTGCGAAATAAATGATTATTATTATAATACACTTATTATTCTATTTTTAAATTTTAATTAAAACTCTAAATGGAAAGGAGTGGTATGACATAGATGACTAACCTTCAAGACTTTCCGCTGGCGGTTTGACATCGGGTGTTTTACTTTCCACACTGTTGTCGACTTCTTCCTGTTCTATCGTAGACTCGATCCATGCGTTGTAATACCTGAAAATACAAGCACGACGTGAGACGTCAACTTCAAAGAGCCATTATGCTTTAATAAAAATAACCACACATTTCACACACGGCCCTCTCATCTCGAAACCAGGCAGAGTCTGTACTAACCAGACCAATTATGTATGTTTCTTCTTTCGTTACTCGTAAATAAAATCTTTTTTGATGGATAAGCAATCAATCAATCAATCAATCAATCAATCAGTTTATTTTCATTGCGAACATGGGTTTACAATTAGGTGTTACAGTTATAATATTTTTTTCTGCCACATTCTACCTTTAGGCATGCAATAAGATAACATTAATAACGAGTTGGGCTTATTTAATACATCATACGAGGTCAGAATTCTATTATATGTCAATATCAATTAAAATAACAATTACAATTATATTATTAAAAAAATGAAAAATGTCATAATCATAATAAACAATGTATCACATTTATTAAAAAAGTGTATTAATAGAGGGTATGGTGTAGTTATTAAAAACATGCATTCTATTATATTTTCTCCGTTAAAAACTCAGTTACAGAATAGTATGCTTTCATTTCTAAAAATTCTTTTAACTTGCTCTTGAATGCACTTATGCTCAAGTTTTTCCATTGTTGCGGTAAATGGTTATAAATTACTGGAGCCATACAGAAAACACTTCTACACATAAGCACAGTTTTTGCTTGGAGTAGGCGCAGTCTACTATTATCACGCCTGTTCCGTGTAACCGTATCCTCAAGCCGCGGAAATAAGCCTGGATTTGTTTTAACAAACATTGACATTTCCAAAATATAAATGCTTGGCAACGTCAATACTTTATACCTCTGAAAGTAAGTTTTACAGCTATCACTTGTTTTTAGTTTAAACATTGACCGTATGCATCTCTTTTGACACTTAAAAGCAATTAATGTATCTGTAGAGTTACCCCAGAAAATGATGCCGTAGCGTAAATTTGAGGCAATTAAACCGTAGTATGCGGTCATCACTGTTTCTGTATTGACGATTGACGTTAACGTATGCAAAGCGTATGCAGAACTACATAATTTTTTGCAAAGCGTCTCTATATGTGATTTCCAATCTAGTTTTTTATCTATCGTTAACCCGAGGAACTTCGAAGTCGTAACATTTTCTATACTATGATTGTCAATGTTTATATTTTGGTATATATAACTGATTGGAGCGATCCGTTGACTGAAATGTATAATCTTAGTTTTATTTAAATTGATTTTTAAATTGTTAATGTCAAGCCAGTTTATTATGGATGTCAAGGAATTCGTAATGTCATATTTATATTGAGTTATATCATTATTACAAGATATAGTAATTGTGCTATCATCTGCGAAAAGCGTTACAGTATTTTTTGTACATTTTGGAAGGTCATTAATATATAATATAAAAAGCAAAGGTCCCATTACGCTCCCCTGAGGGACACCGTACAAAACTTTCCGCTCATCTGAAAGATATAGCTCCTCTCGTTTAGTAGTGGGGTTTATTATTGCTATTTCTGTACGTTGTTTTCTGTTCTCCAAATACGATTCGAATAACTTTAGGACAGTACCTCTCACTCCATAGGCATCTAGTTTTCTAATTAATATATCATGTTTTACATAATCAAATGCCTGTGTCATATCACAAAATATTGAGCATACAGGTGTTCGTTTGTCTACTTTCATCATAACTTCATGAAGAAAGTTGAAAATTGCCAAATTCAAGGTTTTGTTTTTACGAAATCCATTTTGTTCATTGCACAATAGATTATTTTTTTCAAGATATAGGTACAGTTGCGTATGTATGAATTTCTCAAATATTTTGGAGAATATGGGAATTAAAGAAATAGGCCTATAATACTCCATAAGCTCCCTATCCTGTTTCTTAAACACTGGTTTTACAATTGACTGCTTAAGGGCATCAGGAAAAATACCCGAGGTTATACATAGGTTCATAATGTGACACAGATGACCGCTTATTTCATGTGCTACAACTTTAATGACCTTAGTAGTTATTCCATCATATCCAACGCTGTTCGTGTTTTTAAGCTTATGAATTATACTTAATATGTCTTGCGGTACACATGGGGACATGAACATAGATTTGCTTGTACTTAAAATGGGTGGGGTGGTTTTTAGAGACGTTGTTTTAGGCTGTATTTTATCGATAAAATAGTTATTAAATTCATTCGATATTTGTATTGGATTCGTAATAATAGTGTCATTTATTTTTAATCTATTTATCAAAGATTTTGGTAAATTTAATTTCGCCTGGTTAATAATTTGCCATGTCGTTTTATTTTTATTCCTAGAATTATTAATTTTGTAATCATTTTGTGCTCGTTGAGTTAGAAACATAATTCTTTTTAATAATTTTGAATATGATTTGAAGCGGGATTTATTTTCTGGGTTTGGCTTTAATCTTTGTAGCCATAGTAACTGCCTTTTCTTTTTGTTACATTTTTTTATACCACTTGATACCCATTTTGTCTTTTTAATTATATTTACCTTAACTCTAACTTTTGGGAAACATAAATTATAAAACAGTTGAAAGTCCTCTATGAAACTGTTGTAAGCCATATTTGGATTGAGGGTATTATAAATTTCAGAAAATTTTATAGCATTTAGACAGCTTTTAAATTTTAATAAGTTTTGTTGACAATAATTGCGTCTAAACCTATAATATTTATCAATTTTGCATACTTTATCAGTCGGGCATTTTATTAGCTGCGCTGTATGGTCAGAAAGAGCAAACTCTATAATCTCCGTTTTGCAAGGCTTATTAAAATTATGCGCAAAGTTGTCAATACATGTATGGCTCCTAATACGAGTCGGTTGGTATATCGCAAGTTTAAGGTTAAAGTTGAGCAAAATACGTTCAAATTCAAGTGACTGGTAATTCGATTTTAAAACATTAATATTGAAATCGCCAGCCAAAACAATATTTTTATATCGTCTTTTTGTGGCTACTTGTAAAACACTATGTAACCTACTGAAAAAATCGTTCAAATTTCTCATATTTGGTACTCTATAGATACAAATAATAGCAACATTAGATTTAACAATTTCTACGGCACTGCACTCAAAAGTTTCCGGTATTGACATTCTTGATATCCTCTCTAGTTCCTTCCATTCATATCCTTTTCTGACAAGAATGCATGATCCACCTCTTTTAGTATTTTTTCTGCTGTAATGTGAAGCTAAGACATAGTTAGGTATATTTAACAGAGATTCGCAGCCTTCTGACATAAAGTGTTCAGTGATGCATATTATATCAACATCAATTCCTTTGTCTGTTAATTCATTTATACATACTGTCAAGTTGTCGGACTTGTTTATTAAACCAGCTATATTTTGATGCATTACGTATATGTGTCTAGTTTCGAAAAAGACAGTTATTCGAAGCTGTTTTCTGATTGTAAAGCATATTTACATCACTAGTGTCATTAGATTTTCCGTCAGGAGATTGTTTGTCAGTCAAAGGTATGTAAGAATATTGAAGATAGGTATTAATATTATTAATCATATCAAAAATGTCTCTAAACATTGTCAGTATTCCAAAATTATTAATTACGCCTGTACGATAATCAAACATTGTGTCGTCATAGCTTAGGTTTTGGTTTGAGTCAAAAAAATACGCATGTTCATGAGTCAGTATGTCTAGGTATAGTAGATTGTTAAAAGTTTCAACTCTTGAATTGTATAGATTAGAATAATTTGTAAATTTATAAGTTGGCGTACATATAATTGTATTGGTGTGAGTAATTTCAAGCAGTACCTTTCTTATATGCAATATTATGTCAAAATAAATATTAGTCATCCTAAAGTCATCCTCACCCAGCAGAATTAAACAATAGTCTTTCATTGTGTAATTACACAGCTTCTCCTTCAAATTATTTAGCATAGATTGTATATTTCCATTAGTTACTATGTAATGGCACAATTCTGAACCCTTCAGTGTCTTTTCTGCTACAGACAATATCTTATTTCTATTATTTGTGCTAAGTATACATATTTTATTTTTTGCCATACGTTCCTTTTCATTTTGTGATTTTAATAGACTGTTACATTGTGTTAGTTTTGATTGCCGGTCCTCGTCTAATAGTTTAGTATGAGGGGTAGTCTGCGTTTGTTTATTTTGTAAGACTTTGGGCATGTTCTCATTCGAATGAACAACATTTGTGTCAGCGTCACAAGATGATAAATTTACGCGCCTTGTAAGTTTTCTTTTACGTGTTGATGTGGGGGTTCTCGAGGTTGGACATTGCGGGGAAGAGCATAATTTTTTGTAGGCATCTATTGTTTTAAGTGACTTTTGTAGATCAGTTTTTAGTTGCATATTTTCACTGTTTAAGTTGTCTATCTCTTGATTTGCGCTCAGCAATTGCATGCTTAATTCTTGTATTTTTTCATTCAAACCACTTATTACCATGTCAGCTCCACTTTGATTCTGTAAGCTATGTTGGATGCTCATTATGGTTGAATTGAACAATGATTCCTCATATTTATTTGTATTACTTTCTATAGATAGATCATTGAGTGAGCTTGTTCTACGAGGTTTGCGATACGTTATGTTATTAATTTCGAAATCCATATTTTTGCTTGTTGTTTCTTAGTAGCGCCCTCTGTTATTAATGTAATGTATTTTCTTTTTAGTACAGTTACACAGTTCCTACTTTTTGCATTTATAGTTTGATGTTGTTTAAATGTTCTACCAAATAATGTTAGTTTTTACTTGAAAACATGGGATAGTCCTACAAAAAGACATCGACATGCGTGGTTCGAACCGACACCCCCTTCGTCTTATACCCGTAAGATCGACATGCGTTCACGTTACGCTACAAGAAGCTTAGCAAATCTTGTCAAATTACGCACTACATTAAATGCAAGTGACTTTTAAAAAGAAACTTGTCGGTTACTATGATTCATAACATAAGAATTTTTTCCACATTCTTAACACTTTGTCACAGTAACCAAGATCACTTTTTATTATAATTGTCAATTTATTCAGCGTTTATTACACATTGAAGGTTATTATATTAATTTTTATTGATATTTTTCACTGTTTATGTTAACTTTTTCACTGATAATTAAATATTTTTAGTTTTATAATGTTCACTTTTATTTTATGTACTACTGATTATACAAGTTTGCTAACATTCACACACTTTTCAATTACTATTTCACAATATATTAAGGTAAAAACAATAATGATAACTATTTAAAACTACTAATTTTCAAAATTTTTACACAGAGCTCTTTTGGTTCCGTCTTTGCCAGATAGCGCCATCTAGCGAACTTTTATACTTATAACATAACAATAACGATTAACGTTAATATCGTTTTCATCGTGTTGAAGTGGACAGTCATTTGTTACTTATCCATCAGAAGAGATTTTATTTATTAGTCTCAAAAGAAGAAAAAATATTCTTTTTTCAAAACGAGTCTCGAAAGAAGAAATATTATTCTTTTATGGAAACCAGTTTCGAAAGAAATCATTATTTTTCTTATTTCTTCCAAACTGGTTTCGAACCTTGGTTTCATAGGCGGCCGAAGAGAACCAGACTTCTCATAAACATACTTATATATTTCTAAATACATACATATTGTAGACAAATTACACTCAGACATAGAAGAAATGATCGTGAGCATTACACAGTGATTTGTCCCGGGTATCTCGAACCTACGACCTGTGGCTTAGCGGTCAGAATCACTAACCACTAGACTGACAGGATTGTAAAATCATTCAATCATCACGACTTATTTTAAATGAAATAACAAAGCAAAGGATTCTTGAAAACTTTGTACATATCTATATATGTACATTCGTCTTATTCCAACAACATTTTTTTTTATAAAAAATATTGTAGGAATATTTCCAGAAAACCATACCTTACTACATTTTCGTGGTTGAGTCTGGATAAGAGCTTGACTTCCCTTGTAATCTTCTTGTTTAGCTGGACGCTCTCAGGATTAAGCTTGATGCGCTTAATCGCATAGAAACCTCCGTCCAATTTATTCTTGACCTGAAATATAATTCCTCAAGTGAAAAAGAGATAAGTAAAAATATATAGATAAATCTCAAATATTTTCAAAATATAATTTCTTAAGCCTACAAGAGTTTTTTTTAAAGACAACTCCCGCATTAGGAATATATCCTGTGTCGCGGGGGACTTTACAAACATACATGAAACGGACACAAAGAACACACAGACTCAGAACAACAATTTGTGGATCACACAAAGTGTCATCCCATGTGGGGTTTGAACCCACAACACTCGACATAGTAGGAAACGGCGTGGCGACCGCTTAAACCACTACGCCATCCGTGAAGTCAGTTCTAAACTTTGCGGGTTCTAATTGCAGTAACTTAAACTACTAAGGAGTGTGTAACATGACAGGAACAAGTTCAGAATGTAACCCATCGAAAAGGAACACTTTGAACACAGTAGGCATTCATAATTCCTATCTATTGAGAGAAAAAAAAAACAGTATGATTTCTCCTTTTTAGACATGTCTTTTTAATGTATTTTCTTTTTAATTATTTTTTTTAAGTAAACCACACTATTTTTTAAATATAATTGATGAGATTCACGTACTAACCTTTAAGACGTCGCCGAAAGCCCCTTTCCCCAGCCAGGTGAGAACTTCAAATTCAACATTTAAGCGCGAATGACCATTCGTCACTGGACTGGTCTGGGACATCTTCTTAACGGCGTCGTCTTCCTGTATATGTCATAAGACAATATAAACAAGCTAATTATTATAGAAAAAACACAAAAAAAAACCGACTGCATAAAAATGTACAAGTATTTAAAATTTACAAACCGGAACAAACTACGCAAGACAACAGCACTGCAAAGAGAAGGATAACTTGAAACATACCCTATATTAACCCGTTTGTCTAGCGTGATATAGTAGGCCAAACCCTCCTTTCTAAGGAGAGGCCTATGTCCAAAAGTGGACTATTAAAGGCTGTTGATAATGATTTTAATTTTTATTATTTTACTCTTACAATTAAGACAAATCTAACGAAACCTCCCAAGCCAAAATCCATCAAGAGACTAGACTACAGAACGTGTCAGTGAAATATAAATGAACTTAAAAAACATAACCCTCATTCTCGCGCAGTCAGGTAAAAATCTTTTTTTATCTTGTTCGCGATTAAAGCCCGACTTTCTTTACCTTAACACCCTTTAATAGCCCACTGCTGGACATAGGTCTTTCCTTGTAAAAGAGGTTTTGGTCTACTATACCACGCTGGCCAGACGGGTTGGTATAGGGTTTGTGTCAAGTTTTCCTTCTCTTTGCAGTTCTGTTATCTGTAGTTTGTTCAAATAGTCACCACACACGAAATACACTTTCTTAATTCTATTATATTATAGTTTTAATTTAGTCCTCTTACGTCTGAGCCACTGCCGTTTTCATCCTTCTCTTTATAATCAACCAGCTTGTCGGGAGCATCGACAAGAAAGGAGTGATTAATGAGCTGCTCAGCCGTCCACTGACTGTCTTCGTCTTCAGTAAGGCACCTGACAAAAATAATTGTTTTAAAAATCTTTTATTCATGTCTCAAAGAATTTAACATTATTTTTTTATTAAACTGCAACTATCTTCTGAAAAGAAAAAAATATATATTGGTGCTAATTCTGTTGTTCGAAAACTCTCTAAACTAAACTAAAAATCACAAAAAAATTGTTTCGTCCTGTCAAATAACGTTTCCTGTTCTGAAAACGTAGAATTTGGCCGGACAATTTTTAGTTTAGTTTAGAGAGTTTTCGAACAACGGAATTAGCACAATTATCCTACATACCTAGCGAAAAAGTCCTTTGCGATGCTGGGCAGATCTGTAGGTACATCTGTACATGTTTGATCTTGTGACAAGATGGATAGAAGCATTTGGCCTGTGGCGTATATGTCTTGAGCAGAAGTTTGCCTGTAAATAAAATATTCTTCTGAACTACGTGTGATCGACTTAAAAGGTGGGGTAGGCAGAATTCTACTTAGATTGGTCTAATACCTCCAATATTTCGAGTCATAGCTAAAGTATTCTTTTTAGAGATATATAATACAACCTGGTGATTGTGTTATTAATTATTATATTCCTAAATATATTACTTCCCTTGCCCGACCTCTTTGGGGAAAGAAAACATTGGCAAACAACTACCCATTTATACCTACCAGTACCTGCTGTGGTAAGCCACGCGGATCCTACGGTTTTCAAGACTGCTGTAAAAAAACCGGTCAGGTACGAGTCGAACTCGTGCGCCGAGGGTTTCGTACTTACCCAGATTTTACGTAGATTTTCGCGAAAATTTGTAAGTACCAAAATTTATCATAATTTTCAACTTTTTTTATTTTTTGGAATTATTCCTTTATTTGTGCTGTAAGACGTTTCTTTTTGGCAAATTTCGTGATCCTAGGTCAACGGGAACTAACATATAGGTTTTCGAACCATTGACATTCGAGAATTGACAATTATGGTTGAAAGCAAGGTCTTCCAGCACAAGTAAAGAGAAACTTCTGAAAAATATTTTTTTTTCGCGAAATCGAAATTTGCTAATTTATACTAATAGGGGCCTTAGACCTCAGTATCTGGTATAAATTTCAACTTGCTGGGTCTACCCGTTCCTGAGAAAATCGGTGTTGACACACGGACAGATGGACAAGAAAGTGATCCTAAAAGGGTTCCTTTTTTACCTTTTGAGGTACGGAACCCTAAAAATAGCGGCTAAGAAAAATTAAGCCACATCTTACCTGTCACTTAACGACTCCTCATCCAGCATCTCTGCGAGCGTCATATCAAGATCGATTCCTACAAGCTTGACACTGCTAAAGTCATCCAGGTAAACATTCTCAACCCTCACATCCCTATGCACCAACCCTACACAGTGCAACTCTTTTAATGCTGATAACACTCCTAATCCCACATGCCTAATTAATTTTAAACATTCATACTGCTCGTTGTTACCGAACAACCTCTTTTTGACATATTTCAGTGAAGTTCCAAGAACAAATTTCCTGAATAAGAAAATACATTGTTTTGTAGTCCGTTTTGATGTTTCTTTACATGTTTCCATGGCAATATATGGGATTAGACTATGGTGTTTCAGTCGGGACATGGTTTTGAGGTCGTTTTGTATGGAATTCAGCTGTCGATTTCGAGTTTGGAAGTCAGAAATAGTAGAAACAATCCACTTTTTGGCAACTAGGCGTTCACCTTCGTCGTCTATCGCCAGGTAAGTTGTTGAGCCGTTTGATGAATGACCTGTAACGAATACAAATGTCTACATTTGTAAATACATACACTTACCCAAATACATTTGGGTGAGAGAGAGAGAGACAGAGAGAGAGAAAGAGAAAGAGAAATTTGTTGTGAGAGAGAAAGTTGCCAAGCGTATAACTCGAGAACGGGTCGACCAATTCGACTAATTATTATTTTCCAAGGCAAAAGGAAGGCTATCATTGAGAGAAAAACGTAAACATTGCAAGGAAAATAAAAAAAACAACCCTGTTCTTTTCTCATATAAACCATGGAGTAAATTAAGACACCTGTCCTTAGCTATCAAACTCATATCTTTGGATAAATCATATCTTTGGTATGCCTTCAAGTTGATTAGGTGAAATACTAAACCTGCCTAAAATAAAGTTCACTCGAAGATCACTCTGAAATACGTTTATTTATTTATTAGTGTTCTAGTGGACCGCGACAGGCCAATTACTTTTGACAGAACGAAGTCTGCCTGGGCAGCTAGTATATACATAAATATATATTTTAAAAACTATATACTTTTACACTTGTGATGACTCAGAGGAGGAGAGAAAAGTACAAATCTTAGCTTTGAACAAAAGCCGACTAGATGAGCCTGTGGCAGGACGTTTCAGAGAAGGCCAAATTGAATATTGAAACAAGAATATCATCATGTAATCGTCATATAATCTCCTATTACGAAGAATTAGAGCAGTGAAGATTTCTGTTACAATTAGAACGAAATTATCGAAAATTGTAGGTAAGGTATGCGGGCGAAGTGGATTAATTAAGAATAATAGAGTAGCGAGTGACAGCGGATCAGGAGCCAAACCATGAAGAAAATAATGCATTTTAACGTTATCATAAAAAATTGAAAACATTTTTTAACCTTCGATGAACCTGTATTTTGAGTAATAATCTATGTAGTGGGCGGTGGTCGGAATCGGACCGACTAAAACCACACGGTGTGCCACTTTGTGCCTGTAATAGGAGGGATCCGGGAACTGCTGTTATTAAGAGATCCGGACATAGTACAGGCTCTGCCTCACGATCAGGGATCAGACTGAATGACGTGTGTAATACGTGTATTATGTTTATAATTGCTTACCTAAACAATTTCCAATATAAACTTTTTTATGGTTTTTATGATTGATCCTTATTATTCTGAGCCCTTTATTTTTACACGTACAGGGAACATCGACTGGGCGAGCTCCGGTTGCCTTCTTGGCTGGTGACATATTATCGTCAGCATAACTGTGAACGAGAGAAAAAAAATCCTGAAATAAATTTGAAAAGAGAATGTAATTTTTTTTAAGGTTAGGCCTTTATTTAAAAAGAAAAAAAAACATTTCTACTGAGTATAAAGTAAATTCCTAAGAGTCTTTTTCCCTAAATAGGTTTGGGTCGGCTTTAAGTCTACTATGATACGCTGGACTTCGATTTTTTACGCGGAGCGACTGTCATCAGACCTCCACAAAACAAGTACTAGGCGATATCAAAGTTCTGTGGAAAGACTGTTGTCGGACTTATTAGGGCTCCAACTACCTATAACAGTTGCCACAGATGTTCATATTGCAACGGAGACCGACGGGTTAATATGCTCTCCTAGGCGCGAAGGGATCCATAGATTAACCTGGCTAAGATTGCTTGACTTTGCCTTTAACCTACTTAGCCGGATACCACTTAGCCGCGATTCCTTTTGAATATAAAGTAAATTGAACAAAAAAGTCACTAAAAAGTTCAGGCGAAAACTCTCCCATTGTATTTGATTACGAAACTATCCGATTATCTAACACATGTCTATAGCGTAGTTTATAGAGAAACCGCTTAATTAAGCCCCGCAGGCGAGGACTCAATTAAGTGGTTTATATATAGTTGAAGCGGATAAACGTGTGATACCAACTGACAGCTGTCACCTTGTTTATCTGTCAATGCCGTACGCCGTCACGTGTTAATAGTCACTTTCTGCAATTTTTTTAAATCAAAAGGTGATCTGTAACACAGGTTTTGCCTAACGCAGACAGCAGTCTCTTAATCAATAAATTTAATTTCTTTCAATTAAAACTTACTACACGAGATCTGTAGCATCTTCTCCATCTCCTTTTCCATCCAAACTATCCGTCTCCTGGCTAATACTGGATCTATGTGAGCGTTGCCTGCCCGCGGAACGCAGGATTTCTTGTCGTTTTTGTATTTCATCTTTCATTTTTTGACGCTACAAAAGTTAAAAACACGAACATTTTAAAGGTAAACACACACTCTTTTCTTACGAGAGACAAACAAATGGCGAATCTCTCAACTACGTAATTAAGTATAGTTAATACAAATATAGGTTAACTTTCAAAGCGTATTTACGAAATATTTGCTTATCATTGGCACGCGTAAACAATCAAGTATCGAATTCACACACGCGATATCAGAATCTTTCGGAATTGTGTTCAAGTTTATGCACAATACAATGCACGTGTAATACATAAATGCTCAAAAGATCCAAAATGTATTCTTAATCCGTCACCACGCGGACAATTAACATAACATACTGAAATCACAGTTCTTCAATTACTTATGTTAGACACATGCGAATATTAAGATCTATATAAATAAAAATGTTAAGTTAATTCGTATACGCTTCAAAAACTCCTAAAATTCTGCACCGATAGAGATCAAATTTTGACACGATACAACACGCTTCAGAGATAGTTTCTAACTGCAACCACATTATGCCACAGCAAAGCGTGGTAGGGTAAAGGTTCTCATGTTTTTTTTTAATGTTAGATGGGGCAGACGAGCAGACGGGTCACCTGATGGAAAGTGACCATCGTCGCCCATGAACGTCTGCAACTCAGGAGTCACAAACGCGTTGCCGGCCTTTTAGGAAAGAGTACGCTCTATAATAATAGTATTTTTTTACTATAAGTATTATAACAAGTATAAAACTTTGGTGAAGAACTTTTATAATCATCAATAGATATAATTATAAAATATATATAGATATAATAATATATAGATATAATGTTACCTCTTCATTTTCTTTCACTTTCAAATCGTGAAGTTTTAATTGCTCCTGTTCAGTTTTCTCCTTTACCATCTGTTCGTAAAAAGAAAGTATTGGCTTATTGTGCTCGTGGAGAAATTGCTGAAAAATTAGAATAGAATATTATTGTCTATGGAAGTTGCAAAATGTGGGTAAAGACATAAGCATACCCCATTTACATATTTCTCTGTAAGTTTGCTATGAATAAAGATATAAGCCAACCAATAGGGCAAAATATAACAAGGCAAAAATTTAATTCAATTTTAGTTCAACCTAGTATGTTAAGTTACAAAACTAGACAAATTAAAAGTCTGAGTTCCTACCACTATTCGACATAGGATTAACTACTAGTTATGAATTAAAAAATAAAACATAATATCATGATTTCATACCTGAGTGTGTTGCGCAATTTGAAAGATACAGACTTCACCCAATTGATCCATGGCCAACTTATATAATTCCTCGAGTAGTTTCGCTCCATTCTCAATGGAAATTCCACGCAGTTTATGAATTGCTAAGTCGGGTGGTCTGGAATTAAAATGTAGTACATGTACTTCACTTATCCGGTCCGTGTGGTGACGGATTAAGAATACGGAGTGTCACCACCCCTATTCATCCCTTGGGTGTCGTAAAAGCCGACTAAGGGGACAAACTACGCAGGACAACAGCGGCAAAGAAAAGGAAAACTTGACACAAACCCTATACCAACCCGTCTGGCTAGCGTGGTATAGTAGGCCAAAACCTCTTTTCTAAGAAGAGACCTATATCCAGCAGTGGATTATTCAAGGCTGTTGATGTGATGATGTGACTTCACTTATATATTACTTGCTAAGTATTTTGCTAAATATTTTTCAAACAGAGATTGTTCCTATTGTGTGTGTTGATCTATGACTTCAAAGTCTACACAATTTTTAAATAATTTTCCCACAATTCCGACTTCGTGAACTCTTCGTCCAAACAGTTCTACTCTGGAATGCATTCCCGCTTGAAGTCAGGAAGACCACTAACTGTTCCGTATTTAAAAAGAAGGTACATGAGTACATGACCTCCTTCTTAATGAGATGGACACATATATATATATTTTGTGTATATATTTGTATATAGATCTTAGTATGTAGTGTATATTTTAGTTGAATAGTAACGTAACATTGAATAATAAGAGTCCACAAAAGTGAAGATTTCAAAAAATAAAAAATAATTAAATAAATATATTTCAAGTCTGAGTATTTAGTCATTCAAAACAAAATCTTAACATTTATCTTAACATTTATTTATTAAAGTTAAATTTATGTAACTAAGATGTCTTCTAACTATGAAACTTTTGCATTAAATAATATACATAATTCTGTATTCAGGAATTAATGGCATTAATAGTTACTTCTGTTTGTTAGACTGTCACAATGGGTAGCACATCCTGGTTGGAACATCAAACAATTCATAAAATATATGGTAATAATAAAATTGTGTTATTAGTATCGTGACCATGAACAACAGGAATCCATCCATCCTATTCCATCCATCCTATCCATATTTCCTCTTCTACACTTTTGGTTGAGATATTTGATGAATTCGAGGAGAGCTTGACCAAAACTGATTTTAATTATTATTTGTTTATCACATACAATAACTTGACAGAGAAGGTTTACAAACTGACAGCATCTGGAGAAACCACATTTTGTAGGAGAAATTTGGTATAGAGATAGTTTAAGTCCCGGGAAAGGATATAGGATAGTAATTATCAAAGAAATCATCTCTCAACGGGGTGAAAAGGTGGAAGTGTTTATATGGAACCAATAACCGCTGAACCGACTTAGATGAAATTTGTTATGGAGATAGTTTGATTCTTGAAAAAGGACGTAGGTGTCTTTACGCCGTGATAACCGACTTACACGCGGGCAAAAGGTAGTAATTAAATAGCAATATCTAAATTTGGTTAAGGAAGTATTGTTTTCATCATCACATCAACAGCCTTTGATAGTCCACTCCTCCTTTGGTTTCGGCCTACTATAATACGCTGGACACAACTGTTGTCCTGCGTAGTTTGCTTCCTTAGTGCCAACTAAGTTAGACATTAATGTTTGTAAAGTCCCCATAGGATATATTTTTTAGTGCATGAGTTGCTTAGAATAAAAGAAATAAAAAAAAACATGGTACATACTTATTAGGATAATTGGGGCAGCATTTGATATGTAGTGTAATAGAACAGTGAACTCCTTTTATGTCTGAATTGTGTAATGGATGAAGTGTCAATAGTAGATCCAGTGGCCTCCATATTTTCCATACCACAGGTTCCCTGTTATCTACTACAGCATCTCCGTATATAGCCTGTAACAATATAGGATCAATAAATTGGGTTTGCTTTCGTTAAAGGTATATGATAAGATAAATTAAGCATTGCTGTAACGTCAAGTGGCTGATATGGATACATTTTTTGTTAATTGACATGTATATGCAATATACCAATATACATATAAATATATACATTCCGACCGGGTCGCGTAGTGGTTTGTGTAACGCACTGCTATTCCAAAGATCGCGGGTTCTCATTTCTCTCTCTCTCCTTTAAGTCAGACATTTGTGTGCATGAACACTTTAAAGTTTCATTTGGTCTGGGTGTTTCAATGTATAATGAGTACGTATTTACAAAAAAAAGAATATATGTATTTTTATCAGTTGTCTAGTAGCCAAAGTACCAACTCTGCTTAGTTTGGGACAAGATGGCGTTGTGTGAATGTGGTAGATTATTATTGTTACATATACAGGGTTACTGGGCAAGTCGACCTAAATACTTTAAAGAGTTGTAGTTGGGATCATTTCTGATAGATATCACTATGAAATACCACATCCCAAACCTAAGCATTTTCAAGATTTTTACAAAAATGGCCGTATTTTTGCCTATTTTTTTTATAACTTATATCCTTTATTTTCTGTTTTTGTGTAGTCCATATTGTTTATATATTGTTTTAGAATTTCCATTACCAAACTTGTAGTTAACTTAACCCACTCGGCCGAAGTATATGGTTCATCATCGTCATCAACAGCCTCTAACAGTAAACTGCTGGGCTTAGGTCTCTCACGATTGAGGTTTTGGCCTACTATACCACGCTGGCCAGACGGGTTAGTAAAGGGTTTGTTTCAAGTTTCCCTTCTTTTTGCAATGCTGTTGTCCTGCAGAGTTTGTTCCCTTAGTCGGCTCTTACAACACCCACGGGATGAATAGGGGTGGTGACACTCTATATTCTTAATCCGTCACCACACGGTAGATGGTTAATAATGGCAAAAAGAAAAAAATGAGTTTTTTTTCTTTGACCAATATTTAAAAAATATCTATGACAGTTAAACTGTAGAAATGTTAAAAGTATGTACGTATTGTCAACTATTTAACAATGTATAATCGTTTAGGATAGTACGAAAATTCATAGAAAAAACTTAGATGAAAGACCTATTACGAATTTGGCTCGTATTTTTGGACTGTTTCATTTTCTATTCATGACTAACTATTGCTAACTGAACTTTGATTTGTGCTTCTGATACTGTTGAAGATGACTACTTATACGAACGAGGAATATGCTGATATTCTGATTTGTAACGGATACTGCCAATGCGTAACCGCACGAGCCTCTCAACCAACTTATTACTAATAAAATCCAGTCGTCCTTTGTCGCTTTTCCTATAATGCGCAGGACAATCACCATGCTAAAACCTCATGAGATGAGATTAAGTGGTAAATCGTCAAGTAAGTTTGTACAATTTTGTACCTAAAAGTTTTAATAGTGTTCTCGAGAGAAAAAACAATCCAATCAAGTGTTTTGACAATACCCATCAACACATCAAATTGAAGCGTCTTTGTGGCCCCTTTATCCGCGTAATATTAGGATTTATTAGTGCTTTTGGCGAGTAAAAATTAACGCTGTGGTAATTAGTTATACCGTTTTTATCAAATTTGGACTACTGATGAAATGTCTCAGAAATAAAATAACGAGTTTCTACATAAATCTGCATTAACCATAAATCTGTAGAAATCCAATCTCTTCAAAGTATTTCCTTCTTCAATAACTTGTACCAGCGTATAGTACTTGGGTATAGGCCCGCAACATTCATAGCACACTACACTTTTCGTCGTGTGGTGACGGATTAAGAATACAAAGTGTCACCACCCATTTATCCCGTGGGTGTCGTAACAGCCGACTAAGGGAGCAAACTACGCAGGCAGACAACATCACTGCAAGGAGAAGGAAAACTTGAAACAAACCCTATTCCAACCCGTCTGGCCAGCATGGTATTGTAGGCCTAAATCTCTTTTCTAAGGCGAGGTCTATGTCCAGCAGTGGACAATTAACGGCTGCTGATGATGATGTGTGACACTTTCCACTGTGAGATTCAAGTTCTAGGGCAACAATACTGGTTGAAGTTGTTGATTACTGGTTGAATCGTTGAATTATCTCGTTGCCTTCTTCGTCATCTTCATCAGTAAAACGTGATCTACGCAGATCAGCTCGTCACCTTGAAACAAAGCCAGTCGCTCTAACTTGTCGATAGGCTCCGTCCAACACAATAACATCCGGCACTCGATGGCCGGGATAGCGTGCTATGTTCATCAACGAGCCCGTGCGGATACGCATTGGCAGTACCCGTAATAAATCAAAACATGAACATCTTCCTCGACCGCATAGGCCATCATATCCAACAGTATCAGAAGCACCAATCAAAGTTTATTTAGCAATAGTTAGTCATAAGTGGAAAACGAAACAGTCCAAAACTACAAGCAAAGTTTTCAACAAGGTACTACCAGCTTGTATGCTAATTCTCAATGCTCTCTTACATCTAAGTTTTAAAATAAAAGCCTAAAAAACCTAAGTCCAATATCTTGAAAATGGTTGGGTTTAGGATATGGTATTTCATAATGAAATCCCTTAAAAATTATGGCAACTACAACCCCTTAAAGTATTTCGGTCGATTTACCAAGTAACCCTGTATATATACCGATAATATTTATAGATTTGTGTAAAATTTTCTTAAATATACATCATATATATAGTCACCCTTATATCCCCGAAGGGCTAGGCAGGTAATAGTAACAGGATGCAAGTTTTTAGGAATTAAATGAAAAAAGTGTGACTTTAGAAAAATAGATAATAAAACTGTAGCATGGATGGCATAGCGGTTTAAGCGTTCGCCACCCCGCTTACTTCTACGCTGAGTGTTGTGGGTCGATGTCCATCCCCACAAAAGGACAACACTTTGTGTGATCCATAAATTATTGTTCTGAGTCTGGGTGTTATTTGTGTCCGTTTCATGTTTGTTTGTTAAAGTTCCCTTTTTTTTTTCTGTGCGGAAATCCCCTTGGATACCATTTACCGGTGAAGTAAGGGGCAAACGAGCAAATGGGTCATCTAAAGGTAAGTGACTATTGCTGCCCATCGACACCTGCAGTTCAAGAGTTGCCACTCTATTTGTGCATCTGCTATAATAATTATACATTGAAGGTAGACTGGTAGAGAATGCAAGTGCATAAAGTTTAAATAAATAAATAAATTTTAGGTATTTACATACACCATAATTATATTTCTATGGAATGGTTGAATAGACTCGACACTGATGGCACACTTGATAGGCCATGGATAGGCAACACGTGAGAACAAGCACCTGACTGATGTTACTAACACTAGGCTAAGAACATTGTTACTAACAAATTGTATGGACTAAGTCTGAAATAAATTATTCTTATTTTAAAATCGAGGGGTAAATGAGGAGTCCATCCAATGACTACACTAATGCAACCCATGGATACAACTCAAGAGTCAGAAGTGCATTGCAGCCCTTTGAGTCCCCACCCCCAGATAAGGGGGTAACCCCCTCTGGGTTTGATATTGAATAACTTCCTTACTCGGTAAAAATCAACAAAATAATTGCTTGACAACTGAGGCTGTGGTATCGTTCCGGTTGAGCCATTCCATTTGTGCTGAAGCATGGCATTACCCACTGTATATAAAAAAGTAACTACACTGTATCTAAGAAAAAATATTGTTTAACAAGAAAAAGAAAGAAATAGTTTGTTATATAGTTTAATTTAGACATGGAAATTATTGCTTTATATGAGTTATAAAAATAAATAAAATAATTCATATGATTTATCACAGGTGATTGTGATTTTATTCTATCCCTAGTATAGTTTGCTTCTCTTCATATATTTTTTTTACGATTCTTCATGAATTGTAGACTAAACAAGCAATATTATAAAATTATAGAGGCTTATTAATTATAAAATAAGTATGTTATTATAAGAAATGCACAATAATGTTAAATAATGAAGGTATACGAAAACATAATTAAAGACAAGAAAATTGTTTTAAATTTGGAACGCTGTAAAATTGAATTGTTTTCAGTAGAAATACAATAGATGCCTTGGCCTAAAACTGTTCCCGCCACGGCGTAAATAAAAATAAAGTCAAGCATTTTTTTAATTTCACATAGTAGAAAATGTGACTATAAAAAATAAAATAACATTTCTCTATGATATCCGAGTTTTCAGTTGGCTTTTAGATAAAAAATAATAATACTGCTGCTGTATTTACAAAATAAATAATATACTAACCTGTAATGCGGTTAATTCGTTGTCTTGCCGTTTTTCGTTGGTTTCGTCATCCATTTTAAATTAATAATGGAACATAATATAGAATGAAACGTGCCTCTCACACAGCCCTAAAAAATAGAGCAAAACCTAGTGTTTCACTGTATGTGCAAAATAATTTTCCGTAATTCGAGAATTACCGCTACTACGAAAATTGTTTCGTCTGAACTGACGTTGACGAGTTTACGTCGTTGACAGCCGTTTGCTAAAGCTGTCAGGCAAATTCAGTTACAGACATATTTAGTTACGTTCATAAAGTAATAATCATGAGAGACATCCATTAAAAACTATAACAAAGTATGAAACCTAATATAATACTGTAGCATGAAACTTTTTAGTAGAAATTCGTTGCTTACACATCTAAACATATTAATGCATTTAAAGAAGATTTTACTGGCATATTCAAAACTTTTACGGGTTCCGTTCAAAAGTATGATTTGTAAGTTTAGTAAAAAAATTGGAAACTAAATATACCTTTGTTATTATTTATGTAAATAGGATTCATCAAAGGATATAGTCGCAACGTTTTTTGTTTTTTCAAAATCTTTTGGAAATGTTGTAACGCCTGCTTGAAAAATAATAATTATGTATTTGTTATCAGTTGCTCATATAATTTTACAGGCGTTTAGGCATCAAAATAGTTAATTGATAATAACTTTTCATCTTTAAAGGCTTTGAGGCCCAAAACGATATTCATACAAAGGTAACAGTCTAGGAGTAATTATTGCGAAAAAAACTTGATTAATTTGCTCTGTTTGTTCTCACTGGATGGGTAACAGCCACCCTGATGTCAGAATCGCCCGTCGCCTTAAAAGTAGTTTATTTTTTTCCTTCTCTTTGCAGTGTTTTTGTCCTGCATAGTTTGCTCCCTTAGTGGGTCCTACGACATCCGTGGTATGAATAGGGGACATAGGGGTGTTGACACTCCGTATTCAAAATCCGTCACCACACCCACTATTATTGCCGGTTATCAATATTTTATTGTATCAAATATATAATGAAACGAAAAATACTGAAATATGGTATGTAATTCGTTAATCATTAATTTACATCGTTCCAGTACAGTATCGTATTAAAATTAGTTCAATTTATTCTTACACACTTTAAAATCATAAACCCATCTTGCACCTTGGCACCTTGAGGTAATTCACGAACTCCTACTAGCCGTGGTATGGGAGACCTAGGCTTTAGGGCCTTAATTCTGCTATTTTATGTTAACGCCAAGCCACTGTCATTCCATTGACACGCTATTGAGATGCCATTGAGATGCCACTGACATCGGTCAAAATATCGGTATTCTACTAACATAAATTCCAAGTGTCAATAGACTGTCGATATAGTAATATAGGTCATCAATGGTTATATCAACAATATTGCCATATCTAAGAAATAAAATATATCATTTTCTTACAAATTTAAAATGTACCGTTTACCAAACTATTATAAAGACATCGACGACATTTTTATCAGTGACAAGTCATTGGGAGATCATTGGTCTTAGATAGTTAGTAGAATAAGAAAAGTGCAAAACTATTCCGACGACATTTCATCGACAGTCTATTGATACAATATTAAAATAGCAGAATTGAGCCCCAGCTAATGCGCGCCGGCTCGACCGGAGTGCTTTTTATCTCTGTAATTATTTGTTCTGTTTAACATGCGAGACGCTCCTTGTTGGTTCAAGCCCTTCCAGTGGTTGCCATAATATAAATTGGAAATTATTTCCCGAAAAATACTTTTTTTAACTACTAAATGTATAGACCATGATTACCCACTAATTTAAATGTAAGATTTGTTCTTTTTAATACAGCCTAAACTTTCCAGTCTTTTTGTATAGCAAGTATTATATTTTGATCCATCGTCTAGTTCTAGTAATCCTGGGATTTGTAGCTATGGCGAGGTGAGATAATCACAGTGGATAATAAAAAAAAATAGCAGTGTCTTCTTTGTCAACCTTATATTATTATCAAATTATTGTTAAAAATATGTTTTACGGTTAACTGTTGTGTCCAACTGGTCGTCTTTCGCCTGAGTTGATGATGATTAAACGTATTACTGGCCTCAACGTCAAATCTTTATCATCATGAATTATTGTAATAAACCGTTTTCTTCATTTTATATTATAAAGACAAAAGTGAGTTTGTTTGTTACGCTTTAACAGTTAAACTCATTTTAAAAATTATCAGCGAGTAACATAGGCTACTTTTTACCGCGATAACCAATATACACGCGGGTGGAGCCGCGGGAAAAAGCTAAGTAATATGTAAAATAAATAAGTAAATATTTTCGGACATTGGCACACAACGCCATTTAGTTTCAAACTCAACAGAGCTTGTTGTCTATCTAATACCTTCAAACGAGCAATTCTTGAATATATATAATCTGAATCTTGGAAACGGCTGCAACAATTTTCATGAAATTTTTTATGCAGGGGGTTTTGGTGGCGATAAATCGATCTAGCTAGGTTTCATTCTTGGCAATTTACCAAACAAAAAATAACAAGAAAAGCTCGGTCATCTTGGTACTATTGAATTGAATGAATGAAGCTTGATATTAATGAAAGCTAGATTGGCTGATAGAATACATTTTTTTTTGTAAATACTAACTTATTACACATAGAAAACACCCAAACTTCGAAACCAATATTTGTAGATCATACAAACATTTTTGGTCCGACCTGGGAAATGAACCCGACACCTCAGCACAGCAGTCGCATACGCTACCACTGCACCAACGAGGCAGTCATATATAAATGTTAAATAGGTTTGTGTACGCTTCAAAAACTCAGAAAGTCCGGCACCGATTGAGCTCACCGATTTAACACGATGTACAACACGCTTCTAAGATGGTTTTCATCTATTTTTGTAACCACCATGTGTTGCAGGGTACAGCTAGTTTATTATAAAAGGCTCTCTCCCATTAAAAAAAAAAGAAGAAGTCGTTTCATAAAATGACGGGGTTCTAAGATAACAAACAGAAAAAAAAAACAATCAAATTGGTAAACTCTTTTTTTAAAGTCTGTTAAAACCAAATAAATAATTAAGTTTGAAGGAAACGCCATCAGTAATATTATGTTCTTACTGTATTAGCACTTGATAATAAAATCATTCAAAACTCCTTTTGCTCATTGAACACTACTCCAATCTTCACATTGTGCCGACCTCAAATTATAATTAGGAAAGGAGCAAGCAAATTATGTCGATGATGAGTATTAGCAGTTGTTGAAACAAATATTTGGAAAATCAACCTTATTTTTAGCAATATCAGTTATTATTGATATGAAATTTGGTACCCAGGTTCTAACACCGTTCCAATTATCAGATGATTGGAACTGAAACAAAAATTCGATATGTTATATTAATAATTCAAGATTACATCACTTGACACATCAACAGCCAGACACATCTTAGAAAGGAAGTTTTGGCCTATACCGCACTGGCATCCGGATTGGTATAGAGTTTATGTTAAGCTTTCCTTCTCTTTGCAGATAGTCACTTACCATCAGGTGACTCATCAGCTCATTTGCCCCCTTATACCATAAAAAATAAGTTTCCGTCGTTGGTCATCTTCGAAGTTCATCCCTTACACATGAAGTAAATATGTAGGAAATTCCATCCCTATTCTTATTTTTATATCCCTACACAATTTACTTACATCCCTAGAAAGCACCTCAGTAACATGGTTAGCAGGTCTGTATACCATTTGAATTTGTGGTCCTCTTATCAAATTCAATGACGACGTCACAGTAATCTCTTTGCTGATCAAGTCTTTAATAATCTGTAAATAATGATCATTATATAATGACGTCAACTTTTAATTGATGAACTGATGGAATTATCGATCCATGGGCGAAATTTATACCTACAGAAAATAAAAAATATGGTTTAGTGGTTGGTGACCCTCACTACTGGACCAATATTTGTGTGATGAGCACAATAATTTGTTGGTGTGGTTGTAATTTATCTATAACTATCTGGTGCCCGGCACTACGTTCGCGTGAAATTTGAAAAGCGCTGCCTTAGTGGGTTCGATTCCCGGACCGGACAAAATTTTATAGAGTTTTACTAACTTTTAAACTTTCGCGTTCCATAATAATTAATATTATTTAACGGGAATTAACGATGATTCTTAGATGTTAAAGTAGCCGTGAGATCGGATGGGTCCTTGTCACACTGTGTGTACCGTAAACCTACTCATACGGACAGATACCTACACGCCACGTCTCATCATCACCCCCGGCACTTGCAATCTGTTATGACTTCACTCAAAAACAGAGCTTACGATCTCTGTGACCCTGAACATTTAGAACAGGAACTAAAACATGTTCAGGAGGTACTCAAAGGTAACGGATATCAAGTGAAAGGAGGACGGAAGCAACCGAAAATAAGACGCAAGTATCCAGAAGTGAACAGGCAACCGGCCTATATGCCTTATGTCAAGGGAGTTACGGACAAGATCGGGTCTGTACTAAAGAAATATTCCATTCCGACAGTATACACACCAGGCATAAAGGTTCACAACATCGTCGGCACACCGAAGGATACATTGCCACTACAAACTCCGGGTGTTTATAAAATAGACTGCAGCTGCGGAAGCTCATACATAGGCCAAACTAAGCGGACTATTGCAGAAAGGGTCAAAGAGCATATCGCTGCTGTGAAGAACCGACAGACGAGCAAATCAGCGATTGCAGAACATGCACTCGATGCAGGCATCAACCACTGGATTGAATTTCACCGCACGCAAGTCCTCTCCACCGAACGTCACTTTTACTCAAGAGTTGTACGTGAAGCGATTGAGATTAAAAAGCATAAAACTTTCAATCGGGAAGATGGTTTTAAATTATCTACAGCGTGGAATCCAGTGTTAAAAAACATACCACCTCGCTTTTCTGCGCAATCGGTTAAACACCAGAATAGGGACTCATCGGTTTGCTTACAGAATAGGGACACTGTTAGTGTGGTATGTGACGGTACATGGCGACACAAAAATAATATCGAAAATGTGCGGGTAGATGAAGAGCCTTCTACTTCACGGATTCGACGACGGAGGGCGTGCGCCGATGAGCCAGTCAGCCTGTTAAATAATATTAATTATCATGGAACGCGAAAGTTTAAAAGTTTTTTTGTCTGTCTGTCTTTCTGTTTGTTCTGGGTAATCTTCTAAACAGCTGAACCGATTTTGATAAAATTTTACTACTAGGTAATTATCTATATACGGAGTAACTTAGGCTATTTTTCCTCTCAGAAAAACTCTATAAATTAATATTATTTAACGGGAATTAACGCGATCTCTTATTTAGGGTATTACATACCTCTGGTTTGCCTGACGTTTCGACCAGGTTGCACCGGCCGTGGTCACAGGCTGACTGACTCATCGGTTTGCTTACAGAATAGGGACACTGTTAGTGTGGTATGTGACGGTACATGGCGACACAAAAATAATATCGAAAATGTGCGGGTAGATGAAGAGCCTTCTACTTCACGGATTCGACGACGGAGGGCGTGCGCCGATGAGCCAGTCAGCCTGTGACCACGGCCGGCGCAACCTGGTCGAAACGTCAGGCAAACCAGAGGTATGTAATACCCTAAATAAGAGATCGCGTTAATTCCCGTTAAATAATATTAATTAGACAAAAAAACTGTTTTTTAGGCATATGTATCGTGCAAATAACCGTGTGAGCATGAAAAACACGTATTATTTTGGCATTACAAACAAACACTTCAATTTTATTTGTTTGTATAAATATGTGTATAGAAAAATTAACCGTAGTACTATAGCACAATTCTGTCTAATTTGGTATTAGACTGCAGTGCTTGGAATGTGTTAAAAAAAACCAAACTTGCCTAATTAAGCTCAAATGACCATTAATAACTATAACGTTATTAGCTACAGAAAGAGGCTTTGGTAACACATTATAAATACATTTCAAGCAATAATTTATTGAACTATGGGCATTATACGACATAATACGATAAATTATGATTTGATTCAAATAGCTGTCCCGAGGTTAAATGTTCTTTGTTTCCTTTTTGTATAGAAAGTCCAAGGGCGCACAAAAATCATGCCTAACCGGTAAAGTTTTTGTCGAGAATAGTAAGACATACAAAAATACTCACAGAAAATGTGAACGCAATATTGTTACTCAATATCTCCCCAGTATATCTTTGTTCTCCGATACCACTCAGGTTTGCGATGACGTCATACCCAATATTTACATCATGAAATGACATAAGACCGCTAACAGTCGCCGTTGGATAAAATTTATTGTCTATGTTTCTTCTATGGACAGTTCCTCTGACTTGGTGAAGATCAATGGCTTGGATGGACACCACAAAGCCATTGGTGTATGTTACTGTTCCCGTGACGTTCCAATTAGCAATGAACGTGCTGGAATTTAAACAAAAGTAATTTTATTCTTTTAAGACTCATTATTGATTATCAATAGTCTAGAATGATTTGTCTATGTCCTTTCGTGGTAGACTAAGAGCATCGTGTGTACGAGCATTGACTATTTGCTGCTGTAAAATCCTATTATAAACTTTATTTCTTTCAAGAATTTACAGATTTAGCAAGAAATAAGAGTTTGCTAGAGTCCGTAAAAGATTTTTGTTTTTTGCACTACAGAAATTTGAAAGTAAACAAAAAATTAATTAAATATGAGTCTGTTCTGAATATGGGTGGAATTTAAAACAAAAGACAGGTTGATTCCCCGTTCTCTGAAACTAAAATCTAGTATTAGTTGCAGCTGAGGGATAAGATTACATAGTTACCCATTATTGCTTTAATATCAGAAACCTCCTTTCTAAGGAGAGGCCTATGTCCAGCAGTGGACTATTATAGGCTATTTATGTGATGTGATTTGAAGAGCCCTGGGTATATTCACTTACTTTACATTCCTATTAATGTCTATCAGTTTCAAGTTACACCATTCCCTTTTTTCCAATTCATTAACGAATTGCTGCATTACTTCTGAGAAGTAAGGTATAGGATTCACAACTCGTGCTCTTGTAACTGTAAAAAACAATTCGAAAAATGTGAAAACGTTGTACTTCTCCGTGGTCTATTCCGCATATATACTTTGATATGAAGCGGTGTTAGGCAATTCTTTTGTTGATTTTCACTGAGTGACTGAGGTCACCGGAGCGTTCAAAGTTGGAATCCTATTTGTGACTCTATTTGAACTGCAGGCGTCCATGGGTGGCGGTAGAAATTTGTCCTCTTTCTTCGAGCCTTTTTTCCCAAATTAGGTTGGGATCGGCTTTTAAGCCTACTGATACGGTTGAAATTCTGACTACCATCAGCCTTCACAACCAAAGTAATAGGTGATTTCAAAGTTCAGTAGAAATACTGTTGTTGGACTATTTTGAGGCTCCAACTACCCGAAAAGATTACTTACCGTGCTCTAAATGGCACAAAATTTGTCCATTATTGCATAAAAAATACTCCTTGCCCAGAACAATATATTTCAGGATTACCTAAGTCTAGAGAACTTAGGCTATAGGAACATCTTCTCTTTTTCTTCTGATTGTCAGCAATCAATTCGTAAAATTGAACTGGAGACATTCAGTTCTCTGATATGGTCGAATCCCGTGATTACTATACTTATTATCATCTAAGTTCGTGTTAGTTTTCATATTTAGTTTAAAATTAAAAGGATGTACCCTGTGCTCTGGATGATCAAAATTACATGAGCATTAAAGGTATTTATTTTTTCATTTTTCCAGAAAATAATTTTAAGATATTAAGTGCAAAAAAATTATTTCAAACTCGTTATAAAATCTGTTTTTTTAAATTATCCTTCTTATTCTTAAGAAAAAAACAAACGTAGGCGTGTAGGCACATGAAATATCAGATCGACTTGGATCATCATCAATCATCAACAGCCTTAAATAGTGTTCGACTCGTAGGATTTAACAAAAAAAATAAGTACTTACCCCAAACATCTGTCGTAGCTGTTACATCATTTATTCCCAAAGTACAGATAACCAAAATGAAATTAAACTTACACATTTTAACTTCACTTAAAAACAAAAATCATTGGTTTTTTAACGCACGATTATCAACTGAAGTGGTTAAAAAAAAAATCAATTCATTCAAATTCAATTATCTGATTAATGTTGAAGATTACTTATTCTGATTTTAAAATTATAACCTTCTTTTCTGACCTTCATCTATCGGTCAGCAATTATTCATATCAGTATATATCAGTTATCAGATTATTACAAAGTGAAGGTTATTGCTGACATCTTAGAGTCTAACATGTAGATAACTTGATTATAAATGAGGACAAAGAAATTCGTATGAAAGTGTTAACGACTTTTTTCCACTCCAGAGTAAAATAAAATTAATTTTACAAATTAGTAAATTAGTGCACAATCTTTTTTAAATACCGACATATGTTGTAAAGTCTAGACCCATTGTAGTTAGTCCACCACACCTTACTCTGTTGAAAAGCACTATTTGGTAAAGCGGAACTGATGATGCAAATAGATTGTAATGGAAATTACTCAATACTAGCATGAAGGAGGATGTTGACTGATAAAGGAGACTGAAAGAAAAAACAAAAAAAAAATTGAGAATGGGGTGAGAACATGACGATGATGTTGATGGGTTACGGTTTGATAATTTTACCATGGTTGCTAATTTATTTACTCTCTCCACAAAGTATAATAGTGTGAAATACCAGGAGAACATCAAGAGTAGAAAGGCAGTAATTTGTGAAGGGAGTTGAGCAGTTTACTTTAGGCTACTGTAAATTAGAAAAAATATCGGAGCTAAGTAATCTGTACATTAATACGTATAACGAAAACTTTGTACCCCTTTAAAAAAAATGCGGTAACGGATGAACGTGAAATTTGACACTGTTAAAGTTTATATGCAGAAGAAGTGCATAAAGCTATTAAAGAAAAAGAATTAAATGTTTTATCGTTGAATTTCGACCACTGGGCGACCACTAGTTATTTATAATTCAGTCTTAGTATAATATAGTCTCTAGTATTGTTTGCTGGACCAGCATACCTTATTTAGCCAGTTAGTACAAAAGAGATTTATTGAAAACCGTGTAGGTCTATGTGCTGCAGAAATATTGATTGTAGGTAAAGCTGCCAATACGCAAATACTACATACGCTATAGAATTCGAAAGGATCAGAAGAGAAATAAGGTTAAAGAAAAATACATCTAACAATACAATACGTTTTTAATTACTTTTTCTTTATTATGTGAATGGTACCTATTTAAACCTTTGAAATTTAAGCTATTTACAGGTAATAATATAATAATCAAATCATACCATAACGGACTCACTACAAATACAATATGTACAGAATATTATTTTGTGTGAGTAGATAGGACAATACAATCTGTTTTTTTAACTTTTTTGAGTCTTTGATTTAGAAACCTACGATCGCTGTTCCTTGGTATTACTTTGTTTATTTTTATATTATGCTCACTAATTGGACTGTAACGTTCTTGAGTATAATAAAGTTCTTTAAACCTATTTATTTTCCCGCCACAATAGACTAGACTAGTGCCTAAGCTCGGCTCTGAGCCTGTGTTTCAGGACACCAGAGACACCTTAATTGTATACATTTCTATTAGGATTATGTCAGCGCTTCTGACATTTGGTTGTGGTCGAACAATTAAAGAGTATACAATGTACCTATATAAATATGTATGTATATCTTTTCATGTTATTTGTTCTCTAGTAGACCAGACTGTCTTATACAAAGGCACTGGGTGGAAATGGCAATAGGAACGCGTAGTTGAATACCTTTCTAGTATTAAATGTTGTTAATAACAACACTACTAAAGACTTTAAGTAGATTCTGTTTCTAAGCCGCTACTATGGACTGTATATGTCTGCAATAAAGTTTTTTTTTCTTTTTATTTATTTTCAAAATGGAGTAGTAGTAGAGTAGGCAGAAGAATAATAAACATACCCGCTTCGGGGATACGTGTATGAGTATATGTATTTATATAAGGTTCTTCAATTTCCGTATGGCGGACTTTTCTTTGTGTTTTTTTTAAATACATGAATAAAGTATTTTAAATTAATAATAAGATTCATAACAGTGTAAAATTTCAAAGTGGTTACTTTCTAAAAGTTTTGTATTTGCGTATTTTTAGATTGTTCAAATTTCGTAAATTCATACTCAGCGTTGTTTAAATTACTACCATTTATTTAATGTTACTTAATTAACAAATGTAAATAATATTGATTGGGGCCCAATATACATCCTTATGAAATACGTATAAAAAATTTCAAAGCGTTTAATTAACATTGTATTAAAATATTTTTAAAAGGTACCTAAAGCTATAAGTAAAAAATAAAAAATCGTTTTGTTGGTGTTTTAAATAATAATAATAATAATAAGATTTATTTGTCTCAAAAAGGTAAATAGGTACATAGGTTTGTAATGCTACTATAATAAATATAACATACAGTAGGTTCGAAACCTGTGTGACAAATCTCCAGGCTCCCACCTTATCGATACAGATGCATACATATACATGTAGATTTTGAGCAACGTGACACATTTTTTTTTTAATTCAAAATATAATTAAAAAAGGTAAGAAGCAGTAGAAATTAATGTATGCGTGCGTGTGTGTGTGTGTGTGTGTGTGTGTGTGTTGAGTGTGTGTGTGTCTATGTGTGTGTGTGTTTGTGTATGCGCATGAGTGACAGTACTTATTTTAAAGTACAGATTATCTTTTCTGTTTGGTCATAATCCAAATCAATTAATCCAAATGATTTCATTTATCCGAAATCTTAAGCACAATTATAACATATTTCAGGAAAGTCTATTTCAGTCGTAACAATTCTCTTGGCTATAGGTTGGAACACGTCTGCTCCCCAGGCAATGATACCAGGAGTAGACATGGCAGGATTGAACTGAAACATACCATTATAATTCAAGTTAGATTAGTCAGTTTCTTTAATTACCATTAAATTGATGTTTGCTACCTAAGTACTGATGATAGTCCAATATTCAATTTTCAATTACAAATTTAAAGTTTCTGAGTACAATAGTATTTTAAAAATATAAGAGTTTCATGAGTAGATGGGACACCCAATAATAACATAGTAAGTGACTATTAGAGTGACAGAATAAGAGGGGAAGGAGTAAGCCCTCCGGTCACCTCGCATAGCTCTCCTATGGCGTATATTTTTGCTTGACGCATGTATAGTTGTCTGTGTGGTGGTGAATTAAGAAGACAGAGAGTCGCCATCCCTATTCATCCAGTGGGTGTCGCAAGAGCAGACGAAAGGAGCAAACTAGGCAGGACAACAGCACTGCAAAGAGAAGGAAAACTTGGTACAAACCCTATACCAACCCGTCTGGCCAGCGCGTTATAGTAGGCCAAAATCTCCTTTCTAAGGAAATGCCTATGGCCAGCAGTGGACTATTAAAGGCTGCTGATGAATATGTATAGTTTAGCATCTCACCAGTGAACTCAATGTATCGCTCAATCTATCACTTGGCATAAAGATTGGTTCGGTGCGTCTATTTAATAAGTTACCAGTAACCGTTACTTCGATATGGTCGCCATTAATTACTTTAGTTATCTGAAAATAATATTAGTATCTAAATTTTATACATTGGTTTACACTAAAATTTAAAAACTAAATCTCCAAAACGAACTTTCACTCTGAACAGGGATATGCTGCGGTTGGGTAACAGTATTTTTATTAGAACTCCCGCTAAACATTCATGAAATGGACACAAAGAATATCTAGACTCAGAACAAAAGTTTATGGATCTTACAAAGTGTTGTCCCATGTGGGGATCGAACCCTCAACACTCAGCGCAGTAGGAAACGGCAAAATCGCTAAAACTTAACTTAATAACTTGAAAAGAAAAGGTAATAATTTCATCTGTTAAGTGATAAAGATATAGGCAATGTAGATATAGCTAAAAATAGTTACGTAACTTCGATAGATGGGACAAAATCACAGTAAACTGTGATTTATCATTAGATTTTTGCTTACGTAGGTTAGGGTTGCTAGGTAGGTAGGTAGGTAGATTAGACGTAAGAGACGTTAGACGTTAGAGTATTATTTAAGTGTAAATCTAGTATTTTTAATTTTTATCTTTATTTATTATATTCTAATTTAGTATTTTTATCTAGTAATTATTATGTAGAGAATGATGACTACATATAATAAGATAATTACTAGATTTACTGTTAAATAGGCTAAATATGGTCTTTATGCATCGTCTGAAAGCAGCTCATTGGCAACAACGTAAGTAGTAACCCTAAAAAAATCGAATGATAAATCACCGGTCATTCACAGTTCACTGTGATTTTGTCCCATGGCTAGTAGCTTCTAGACACCAGTCATCACACCACTGTAACTTCTCATCAATCGCGGGCATTGATCACACGCAAAAATAAATTTTGTTCAATGCCAGTTTGAGTTATACTGATCAATGAAATGAGACACTGTCAAAGTTCTGCCGTAAGGTAATAATATAAAATAATAATAATATTCTACCACATTCACACAACGCCATCTAGTCCCAAACTAAGCAGAGCTTGTACTATGGCTACTAGACAACTGATATAAATACATACACCTTTTTTTTGTAAATGCATACTTATTATACATAGAAACCCCCCTGTGACACCCCGGTGATCCCTATTATTATATTAATACTTACATTAAAATCCATATTAATCAGTGGATAAATATATTTCACCGTATAAAAACTTGTGCCATCTTCCAAGTCGGCTTTGACATCATAGCCCATAGCGACGTCATGCAATCTCAGAGTTCCTCTTAGTACAGCTCGAGCTACTCGGTTCCCATTCAGATTGACTTGCTGCCCGACTGACTGTCTGATGAGGTCTACCCCTTGAATAGAAACTACAAAGGCATTGGTGTAGCTAACAGAGCCCTTCGCATGCCAACCTAAGACTGTTTCACTGTAATACAATTATGATTAAAATTATGACAATATGCTTACAAAATATTCTGAGAACTTACTGAATAATCATAATAATAATACTGCTATGCCAAACATAGAATCCATGGAATCAGTAGCTTATTCGCGGGTCACTGTATATACATGTACTGCCTAGTCATAATAATAATAACTTCTCGCACACACACACACACACACACAGACACATATCACACATGTCTGATCTCAAACAAGTATTGTGCATGGCCTGTCTGCAATAAAATTGAAAAGGATCGATTGTTTCAGAAAGCTTACTATAGCATTACCGAAAAGTGACAAGGTCAAAGGACAAATAGGTCCTCATTAACAACCGATGTGGCTTAGCTACATAAAAATGAAATATTGTAAAAAAGGCTGACTGAGTTTTAGCTGAGTTGGCTTCGTCTCATTCAGTTGCCAGTTAATTACCAAATTCGAAACACCAAAAAGAGGAATTATAATATTTAGGGTACTTTAATGATAATGACGATATTCATTTTTACACGAAATTAAAATTGTAGTAACAAGTAATACTTTGAAAAATCAGACACCTGCCTACAAAAAGACAATTTAAAAGTAATGCACTAAAAAGACCGAAACAGTACGAGGTCAGAGACAAACATGGCCCATTTTTACGCTATCAAAAGCTTTTGGGGAATATAAAGGGAATTACCCTTTTAATTTTCTTGATTTTGATACCCTACTGGATAGGTTTGGTTACTTTTTTCATTAACCTATTACTGTTTTGCTCTAAAGATCCGCCATGGTGTTTTTTTCAACAAACCATCTAAGGGTTTTTGAGACGGATAAACAATTCTTTAATTGTCGAAATCCATCGAGCCATTTTGAAGCTATGAGGTAATAAAGAAATTTGGCAGTCGGGTAAAAATTAATTAAACCACATGAAAAAAATTATTATAATATTAAAATTTAAATTATAAAAGAACTACATAATTGATATAAATAAAACTTATTCGCTGTTAGTTGCTGAAGAATACTTAAAACTACTACTATAGTCATTCCAATGTTAAGAAATTTGTCTAATTTGCTACCAGATTCGCCATATTCGATTTACCTGAGTTTGTACTCACTGCGCGGCTTCTAAGGGTCGTAGCTATATATTTTATAGTTAATATTATTTATCTATTAATTTTCTACCCTATACAAATAAAACTTTTTAACATCATAAAAGTTTTACATACCTTTGAATTACAATCTGTCCAAATAACTGTAGTCGTGTAATTCTCATGTACATAGTACATGATCATATGTAAAAGGAATCATCCAAATCTTACTGATATTCCCGAGACAAGCGTGTTTAAAAAAAATCAGCTATTATGATATTAATACAGAAATCCATTTTCTGTCGTATGTCGTAAGAATACGGAATGTCACCACCACTGTTCATCCCATGGGTGTCGTAAGAGCCGACTTTGGGAGCAAACTAAGCAGGAAAACAGCACTGCAAAGAGAAGGAAAACTTGAAACAAACCCTATATCAACCCGTCTGGCCATCGTGGTATAGTAGACCAAAACCTCCTTTCTAAGGAGAGGCCTATTTTCAGCAGTGGACTGTTATAGGCTGTTGATGATGATAATGATACTTCAGAGTGACTTATTGACCAGACCTCTCTGTGCCTCAGGCATCAATCATCAAATTTAATTTTACGTACTCAATTTTAATAGGGTCTGGATCAGGTACTTTCAGGTTTGACCATTGCCTTGCTTCTATTTCTTGAACGGTTTTAGACACAACACTTATTATGTAGTCTACATGGTCTATTGTGCGAACATGTCTCACTAAAAAACAAAGTCACTTGTTATATGGATGTCCTGATCTTTTATATGTAAAGTTCGATCAGCTCAGTAATTGAAGTAGGTAATTTTAGCATTTCAATGAGCCAGCTAACGTCGTTGGCTACAACATTAGGTTATGGTATAGCTCAGATATATAGTATAGTTTAGATGCTGGAACTTTTAGAACACAGAACTTTTTACATTTATTTATTAATAATAATAAGCTCACACATCTCACACACGGCTGTCTGATCCCAAACTAGGCTGAGCCTGTGCTATGGTAACCAGACTGGTGATAAACATACTTATATATTTCTAAATACATACATATTATAGATAAATCCTCCATTGTAAGGAGAGGCCTATGTCCAGCAGTGGACTGTGAAGGGCTGTTGATGGTGATGATTACTTTAAATGATATAGCACTAGATGTCGCTGTTAATATGTATAGTTATTTATAACGTCCTTTGTCCTAACATCATTACTTTATGAAAATTTACGATGTCATTCTAAATATCCATTTTATTTGTTTACTTGTCCTATCTAGGTTGGAATATAAATAACATAACATTCACTTACCAAGATTGCCCAATGCATGTCCACAAATCAACAAAACTAAAATACAGTACAACTTCATTTTTTCAGATAAAGACTTTAGGAACGTTATACAGCTGTGTAAATAAGTAGGTATATTCAAATGAATAATCGTATCAACAATGGTCTAAATGTTTAAAGATAACATAATTATTGATTAAGTACCGATTTAGTGTATTGCAATGATTTCAATACTTAGATATCTATATAAAAATATTATGTACATACTAGCCGACCCGGCAAACGTTGTTTTGCCATATACATTATTTCTAGGAAATATTGAAAAAAAAAATTAGAGGTGGGTGTGTTTAAATTAGAGGTACGTGTCTTTTAGGGGTATGAAAAATACGTTTTTTTTCTGATTCTCAGACTTACCCGATGTGCACACAAAATTTCATAAAAATCAGTCCAGCCGTTTAAGAGGAGTATGGTAACTAACATTGTGACACGAGAATTTTATATATAAGATACAAATAAGTGAAATTGAAGTATCTGTTTGTAATGTAAATTGTAAATTAATAGGTTGTTTTCATGCTCACACGGTTATTTTCACGATACCTATGCGTAAAAACCAGTTTAATTTGTTTTTGTCTGACTGTCTATTTGTTCCGGGTAATCTTCTAAACGGCAGGATTGATTTTGATAATATTTTACTACTCACTAAGGCAGCTCTTTTCAAATTGCACGCGAATAAGTCGCGGGTACCAGCTAGTATTTTTATATAGCAGAGGAGCGCAGCCGTCGGATATGTCTGCATAGTATGTAAATTTACAATGTCATCTATCAGTATCATTGAAATGAACTTTATCATTGAAATTATTGAAAAAACATTACTTACTTATATAAAAATCATTAATATTATTTAACGGGAATTAACGCGATCTCTTATTTAGGGTATTACATACCTCTGGTTTGCCTGACGTTTCGACCAGGTTGCACCGGCCGTGGTCACAGGCTGACTCTAAATAATACCCTAAATAAGAGATCGCGTTAATTCCCGTTAAATAATATTAATTATCATGGAACGCGAAAGTTTAAAAGTTAGTATAAAAATCATGTTATCTTTTACTTGTATTTCCAATACTTTGTACTTTGTATTGCCTATTTAGAGATAGCATATAAGATTTATACATTTTAAGGTCTTCATGTTCAAAAGTATCATACGTAAACAGCCCATATCAATAGTAATTATTATTATTCTTGGACGCTAAGAATGTCATATGGAAATAAATTATTTTCTTCGAATTAAAGTCATGCTAGAGTCATGCTCAAGTGTAGGTAATTGTCAAAAAAAACTTGTGCGTCTCGGGACGCCCAACAGAAGTGATATCTTAAACTAATCTAAGTTGAACTATTTAATATTGTAATTGTTTAACTTGAGAAAAGCTTAGGTTATTACTTAAATTTTATGTTAAGCGTCTGTCCGAAATACGGCTAGCGCTGTGGGTTAGAGCGAGAGAACATGAGCCTGCCTATCGCTGCCCTATGCGTGAGGGAAAGGGAAGCCAGACAGACTGGCACCGTAACGCGTTACGTAACGAAGCGGTTAACCCTCCGATAAGAAGTTATCACTTCAATTAAAAAATAACTAAGTCGCAACGAAATCGTAAACAAAATGTATTAGACGAGTATACCTAAGTCAAACTTAGTGCATAAAGTTAGAAGTTTCACTACATTAGACTGGCATTTTCCAATTCCACGCCATTGGAGAATACCAGGCGGTGCCTCTCGATCAATGGCCGCACGTGTATTAAAGTCTCCAGCAATATCATTTTATCTTGGGGTGTAAACATCGCAAAAGTCTTGATAAAATCGATCTATATTTGCTTATACTTCGAAGAGATGAAGATATTTATTTCACATTATTGTGAATGAGCAATTATTATTATTATCATCGATCTGAAAAAATGCAAAGTGTAAGTGTGCGTTTGTTTTAAACCGTTTTAAAGCTTCCCGGATTTATTACATTAAAATGTCAAATCCTTCTAAGCCCGTATTTCGACTTGATACGTGTCTGGACAGCTGTCAAACTGTGTCGATTCCCGTAGACCTCCATCAATTCGTGTGCCGTGTCAAGGTACAGAGTTTGGTCCAAGATTAGGATGGTCATGTATCATAGCAGTATAAAACAAAGACGAACCAAAATTTTTCTCTGGTGTTTAAACAAGCATCTCTTGCATACATACTCATGAGATAGTGTTTTAATTAATATTTTGTTTTAAGAAATTTATATAGAATTCTCTTTCCTGGAAGTCTGGAAGTGATTTTGTGTGATATGTCTTATGAAGTTTTGTTTTTTTTTTAACTCTGTTTTGGCCACAAAGCTACAAACCGACTGGGGCAGTGTTAGAGCGCCAACTTATTTATTTTATAGGAACTAATTTCTTTTCGGGCATTGGCTGACGACCGAAGTCGATATCGTGAGGGAAAAAGTTCTTTATATACCCACTCTTCCTCTACTCTTTTATTTTGATAGATGTGACGTCACACAACGCTAATAACATTATCATCATCATCAACAGCCCTTAATAGTCCACAGCTGGACATAGGCCTCTCGTTCTCTTTGCAGTACTGTTGTCCTACGTAGTTTGCTCCCTTATTCGGATCTTACGACACCCACGGGATGAATAGAGGTGGTGACACTCCGTATTCTTAATCCGTCACGCTCACGCTAATAAAATCAATTCTCAATTAATTAGAAAACAAAACTACTTTACAAGATAGGTCACCTTTATACTAAACTCCTGTACCTTAAACCAAACGAAAAACAAACACCTGAGCCTCTTGGAATACTAATGAAGTTTTTGTGTTAACCCTCTCAAATGGTAAGGTTGGATTAAAAATGGATGCCACTTCAAAATTAACCCCCAAAATAATGGACAGGTTTAAAATTGAATTGAATTACACAATTAGAATAAAAAAATTAATGTATATATTAGCTACTATTATTTCGTGTTGTTGTGCCCCAACTTGTTTAGAAAGAAATGATGATTACTTAGTCTAGTAACTATAACACAGCTCTTCCTAATATGGATATTGAATATTTACCGTGGGAGAGCCATGCTTCGGCACGAATGGGCCGGCTCGACAGGAGTGATACCACGGCCTCACAGAAAACCGGTGTTAAGCAATTCTTTCGTTGCCTTTCACTGAGTGAGTGAGGTTACTGGAGCCCAAATCCCCCCTCCTGCCGACTCGAGCGGGAGGGACTAAAAGGGCAGCAACGCACTTGTGACTTTTGAGTTGTAGGTGTCCATGAGCGGCGGTAGTTGCTTACCATCAGGTGACCCGTCTTCTCGGTTGCCCCCTTATACCATTAAAAAAACAACAGACAACCGCTTGTAAGGTTGGTCAAGTTGCATGTTAAAAAGTAAAATGAATAAATAGTTTACAATAGTTACTCAAGAATAGTTGTTACAATAATCGTCACTTAAAAAAATATTAGCTGATTAAATGAAAAAAATATTCCCCGTTTTTTCAACATTTTTCATTGATGTACAGTTCCTTTTGGTCCTAGCGTATAGTTATATGTATAGCACATATACTTGCTCGATAAATGGCCTTCAACACTTAAAAAAAAAACAATTCGAACCGGTAGTTCCGAACATTAGCGCTTTCAACGAACCAAAAACAACTCTTCAGTTTTATAATAATACTACATATTAGATTTAAGGCACGTTTTTGCCGCTGCCACCCGGGACGGACGCACGGCCGGACGGCCGCTCTGCCCCAGTTTTTCAATCTCTAACAACTATAATATTAATTTTATTGAAATGCATCAATCATCAATTTTGATCTACATTAAATGCACAACGTATCTAACGTATTTCATTGGATAAGGAATAATACAGTAATGTTAAAATAGCTTCCTAAATAATCTTTTATTTTTTTGTAATACAATTACAATAGACAGAAATGGTTACTGTGGGTTAGGAGATAGGCATATATCATAGCGAACTTTTTACCCTACTGTCAAGAAAGGGCTATGTTTCTCTGGGCTATCTGTATGTTGGATTGAAAATTTACTGCACTGTAAAATCCGTTGCGTAGTTTGAGAGATGTAAGCGTACAAGAACGTGAAACGACTTCATTTTAAACCATGTAAAGATTTACATTTTTCGTGTCTAGAAACTTGCAAAATTCAGGATTCGCCCTTATTACATCCAGATATACACACATATATGTTCCTCCTAAATTCCCCTGGAGCGATTAAAACTTTATGACGGGATCAATAAAATTACCCAAAACTTGGAAAGCATTTAGCTGTAGCATGTAATAAAATCAGAAATCAACACCCTAAGCAAGCAAGGTCCCGTTCACTTATCGTCACAAATTAAATGCTTGGCTATTACGTTTTAATGTTCTAAATAAAGTAATGTACTCCACTTCATCACCTATAAATTATAGCGTACCGGAATATTTATTAAAAAATAAATGTATGTCACTTGCTATATTCTATCGCTTTAAAGTTTAATGTTGTACTCGCTGTGACTGAGCCATGATTCGACATATTTGGGCTGGCTCCTAGAAATCCACCACTAAGGATTTTTTCCTTGCTTTTTTCCGGGTGACTTTTTCATTTTATAGAGATGGTAAGTGACTACCGCTGCCCATTGACAACTACAGCTCAAGAATTACAAGTGCCTTGCCACCCTTTCAGTCCCTCCCCCCAGAATCAGGGGGAGGAGGAGGGTAGCTCATATGTCATCATCGTACTTAAAAAATATATTTTGCCTTTTATAATAAATTGTGCCTGTGATATTTCCGGACAGATATGACTTTAAAACCTTCGAGAGAAAAGCGTCCTCTCACTTCAAAGAGCGCCATCGCACTTGTGACGTCAAGTAACTGAACTGTTCGTTTGACCCCGATATCATAAAAAAATCAATAAATCATCAAACAAGTTCATCAAAAATCTTACTTTTGGCATATCTTAGAGTGTTTTATGTGTTATTTCATTGTTTTGTTATAAGCCACGAACTTGCTATACGAGGAACACATTTTATGTTGTGTTAAATGTTATGTTGGTTTGTGTACTCTTTA